TTGGAGGGCCACATCAGCACTGTTTAAGCTGGCTCACCCACTGCTGGAAATACCTTTGCTGAGTGAACTCTTCTTGGGATGGCTCCAATCCAGCCCTCATCAAAGCTGGTGGAATTGCTCACATTTTCTTAACCAAGATTGGGTCAAACCATCAACTTCCAAAAAAAAATCCAGTTAACACTTAGCCAAAGTGACACGGGACATTAATTTTTGGGTGGAAAGCAACTATCTTCCTGTAATACTGTGTTTTTCCTCTTTCTTCTTTCCTGCTGATGTGGCTTGGGGATAGCTGTTTGGTGACAGGTAGCAGTCAGAGTATGTGACGCTGAGGAGGAGAGCAGCCACCTGTGTGGATTGCTGGATGAGAAATGTGAGATGTTTTCTTTCCCCTATGCTTTTCAGTTATGGTAAAATGACATTTTTCTTTTCCTGTTAATTAATCAACAAAGGTAGAAAGCCTTAAGTTGCACAAAGGACTACAGAGCTTAGATGCCTGGCTTTGCTGGTAAAACTCTGCTTTCATTTCTGCTTTCTTTCTCAGAGATCTAGGAACCACGTATGGCTGAGGTACTTTTCTAGTCCTGGTAGTGGTTTTGAGTGGAAAAGTGCAGGGTGTCTGTAAACGAAGTTTCTCAGCTCTGAAACTGGATTGCAGATTTGTTGGGAAGGTAGAATTAGAAAGAAATTATAAATATGATTTTGTAGCCAGAAAGGCTAAGGAAGAAATACAAATGATAGCACGGTTTGAATAATTCAAAGAAACCAACCGGGCTGGTATGCCAGAACACATTCTTTCCTGCAATAAAACCAAGCTGAGACCCCTCATCCCAGCCTTATAAGGAAAGGTCTGAAGGACCCTGAGATAACTAAAAATATGCAAAAATAGCGATTTCTATAGGTTGTACACAAATGTTACTATATTAGTATACTTAGAAAGATTGGTTAGTTAAGGAATAGAATATTCAAAGGTATAGGTTATATAAGTAGTGGTATAGAAGAGCTCGGTCTCTTTTTGCTCTCTTTTTTCTGTCTTGCTTGCTCTTTTTTCCGTCTCTTGCTCTCTCTCTCTACCTCTCTACCCCACGCCCTGAAATAAACTTCTAACACTTAACTCGATTATAGAGGTCTTTGCCGTGTCTCTGACCGTCCCCAGAAAGCGTCTCCTACACAGATTGTCTGTGGTGCAAGGTTCTTACCTCAGAGGACAATTGGTTGAGCAAGCTTAGGGAGCAGCTAAAGACTTCTTAAGACAGGAATCTACTTTTTGAGAAGGATGATTGAACTGAGCAGTTCAGTACTTTTTCTTTAACATTTCATACTGTTTTGTCTGGTAAAGCAGCAGTGGTCTCAAGTACAGGGTTCAGAATCAATAAGTCTCATTTGATGCCTGGAACTTAATTTAATATAATAATAAAAACTGAAACACCACCTTTCCCCTTAAAAAAACCCTGCAAAAATCCCACCAGTTTACTATTGTAGTGCAGATTCTGATGATTTTTGGTCAAGTTGCCCATTTCAGGATTTCATTTACCAGCTACCATTTTTCTGATGACTTTATCTTCTAGCAGCTACAATTTCTGCCTCTAAGCTGTTACTTTGGCCATGGCTGGGTCACTGTACTCAGTCTCCCAGACTTCTGCCTGAAGTGAAAAGAGAGATGGATAGTTGCTTATAGACTATATGGATGTTGTCTACTAACTGTGCCAAGTTATGTGTCATCTCTGCAACAGAAGCCATTTTATAGGTCCAGACCTCAAGTTTCAACTACTTTTTGTGCTTGTATCTTAATAGGTTTGAGTTGTTTGGTATGTTTTTCCCTGCAGTTATAGATTGATTGCTAGGGGTCAGTACTTCCCTTTTCTTCTGGAACTATTTTGTATTTTCCTTTGGTAGATAATTGATGAGACCCTCTGAAGAAATCTGTATAATCTGGCAAGAGCAAGCTGCCTTCTTGTGTGGCTGTTCAGAGGATGTTTTACCCTCAGCTTAGACCTTGTGCTTTGGGCTGACATAATTTGTAAAATGCTTTCCTCCAGTACTGACACAGAGAGAAATTTTGGCAGTACTAGTGGACGTTTCATCTGTGAAGTCAGTACCAAGGCTTTAATCAGCCCTGAATTTTTGGGGTCAAGATACTGTACACAGATTCCTGCAGTTCTAAGTAATGTTGGATTTCTAGACTGAAGAGAATACAAGGGAGTACTCTTGAGATGACTCTTTTTCGTTTTCCAGAATTTAGAAAAGCATTTTATTTTAATGTAATTGCAGGTAGCCCTTTAGATTATATCTGAAGATGATTACCAGTTGATTTAATTTGACCAGAGTGGAAGTCCAGAAAGCTGTTAAATCAGTTTTGGAACAAAAGACAAAAAATACTTAGAGATGCTTACAGGGGTAAATAATGGGAAGATGAGGAAGACTCAACCTTAAATCAGTCAAGTACTTGATAGCTAATTCTTTTAAGAATGTTTAAAACTACTGTTTCTGGGCAATCCAGTCTCCCTACAGGAAGGGACTACACTGGGATTTGAATGACTTAAATGATGCAAGGGATTTATTACTTCCTCCTCTCATCCCTTCTCTAGTAAGTGTAGCTTGTTTAGGACAGTTCTAATTTTTTTGGTGTGATTTTTGTTGTTGGTGGTGGTTCTGAGGGATTTTTTTGAACATGAATGAGCCTGGCCAGAAGGACAAAACTCTGGTCTTTAGGATACAATGAGTTTTTCTTGTTGATCACTGTCTACAGTCCTAGGGCTATCCTCTCTGTGGAATTCAGATTTTTTTTCCCAGAGCCAAAATGAGAGCAGGAGACCAGGACAAGGGGATACTGAGGTACAGGGGCTGTGACTGCAGAAGACAGTCTCTTGGGGTCTTAAGGAACATGAAATGTCCTTCTGATTGGGAAGTGCCCACCCTTTGACATGGTTAAACCTGGTGGGACAGCAACTTGGTAGATACTTCTTTGGGGAGGTGTGAACCCAGCTTTATCTTCCTCTGTGTGGCTGAGGTCAGGGCCTTCAGCCTTATCCCAGACCAGACTGATGGTTCCTGGGCTGTGGTAAGCTCCTGCTCTTCATTTTTAATGAGAAGTCCCTTTCTTGTAAAGCCTGGCACAGGCTTTGATGGACCAGCAGTTACCAGCAATGCCATTTTAACCATTGCTGGTAACTCCATCTTAAGCATTGGTGATAACTCCATCTTGGGTGCCTTCAGATTCCTGCCGGTCAAACTGTGATGAGGAATGATAAATAGAAACTGGAACTAACTAGTGAAATGGGAACAATGGGTAGTAGAGTGTGGTGCTACCATGAGGAAATTAAAGCCTTGGAAAGCCCTGGTTTTAAAATCTCAGCTGATCCCTGCATTCAGCCTTAGGGTCAATACAATTCTCATTGCCTAAAACCACATTTGTTTTAGGTTGAATACTTTCCATATGGCTCTCTGGCTGAGCTGGTTCCTTTTGTATCCTTCATCCCTTGCAACTCTCTATTTTAATTGCAGATGAAAGCTGCAGCTTTGACTGGGGAAGCAGAGCTGTTGGGCTGCAGTGTTCTTCCCAGAACATACAGGGCTGCTGAGAGAAATCCAGCACAGTGTGCTTGCACTGCAGCCTAGAAAACTGCAGGCACCTGGGAGAGCGTGGCTGGTTGAGGGGAGATGTTACTCCCCTCAGCCAGGGCTGGGACACTCAGGAGAAATGTTGAGATCTGGGCATGTAGAGGCTACCAGTGGCACATGGGCTCCAGTGAGAGCCTAAGGGAGTGGGGCTGGCCAAGTCTGACAAACAGGAGGACAGGGAAACATCTCTCAGCAGCCAGCTGCTCCTGGATGGGAGGCTGCAAGAAAGTCACTTTTTGGTGGGAGCAAGGCACATGTACTACTGTAACACTGTGCAGAAGCTGCAGGTAGCTGTTTGGGAGGCTTGGGTTGGACATGAGGAAAATGTATGAGAAATTGTGTGGCCAGCAGGACCAGGAAAGGGATCACACCCCTGTACTTGGACTGGTGATACTTCCAGTTTTGGGCCCCTCACTACAAGAAAGATATTGAGGTGCTAGAGGAAGTCCAGAGAAAGGCAACAAGGCTGGGAAGGATCTGGAGCGCAGGTCTTAGAAAGGAACGTTGTGGGAACAGGAGTTGTTGCCAGCCTGGAGAAAAGGTCTCATTAACCTTGTTAATCTCTGCAACTGCTTGAAAGAAGGTTGTAGCATGGTGGGAGTCAGTCTCTTCTCCCATCTTTCAGGTGACAGAACAAAAGGAAATGGTCTCAAGTTGCCCAAGAGGTTTAGATTGGATACTAGGGATTTTTTTTCACTGAAAGATCTTTCAAGATTTGCATCAGTGTCACTTCTTATAAAAACGCTGCTAACTTGTCAGCAAATGATAAAAAATACCCAACTTGCATTAGGTACCTTTTACAGTGCTCAAGGGATCATATAATGGGAGTTTGGGAAGTCAGGAGTTGAGGCAGAGCAGACATTTTACGTATGAGTCTGTCTGGGAGCAGAACCATTGGGGAAACCCATTTCTCCATGGGTTTAGGAGAAAAGAACCTGTTTTAAAGAGTAAAACTGTCTGTGCTTCATTTTGCACTTAACTTTAGCTCTTCCCCAAAAGTAATGTACTGGTGTGCCTGAACTAGGGAAAGGGGGTTTAAAGAAGGAAAAGAAAAGGAAAGCTACAAGACATCTCCAGTTTCTGGCAGGAGTCCTTGTATTACGATATGTTTTCACTTTCAAGGTCTTGCACCAGTCTGTCTGAAGGGCCTGGGAAAAGACACTTATTGAGTATTGTACATCCTGCTTGGAAAGCTTGTTGTTACTCCAATTTGGTTTTACAGGAAAAAAAAAAAAGCTATAAAATTATGCCCTTTATTCTGATCTTTACAGATGTGCTTGCAACAGACGTATGTGGACTGATGTGCGTGTCATGTGCTTCATAGTAACTGTCTTGGGGTTTGTGTGTGTGTTTGTTTATTTTGTGTGTCTTTGGCATAAGACATGCCAAGCAGACCTCTGAGAGTGCGAGCCCAGTCTCCAGATGGCAAGTTACCTTTTCGGTGGAAACCGCCTTATGGAGCAGGATTCAGAGGCCCACGCAGCAGATCCCAAGGTTATCCCCGTGGATATGGAGAAAGCAACCGAAGGATGAGCTATGCCCCGATGCCACAAGAGCGACCAAACCAGGAAGCAAGAAAACTAGGTGAGTCAAATTTTCCTGATAGCACCTGGCTGAGCTAGCACACTTCTGTAGTCCCCTGTGGCTGCTAGGTGTGCACATGTCACATGCTGTCCTAGCTATCAAAAACCCTTCTTCCTATAAATTAAAATACTTGTTATAATTGTGTTCTGTATCTTAGCAGAGGGAGGGCATTACACAGAGAAATTGTAGGAGAACTTGATGCTGTTTCAAAGAGATACCATGTGCAAGTTTGTCATATTAACAGCAGAGGGAAAGGGTGGAGAGAAGAGCCATAGCTCAGATTCTGCCTGCATGTGGTGGGACCACTCTGAAATCCATTCCTTCTTTTAAATGAAAAAGGTTACAGGAAACCTTCTGTTTTTCCCTGCATGCACAGCCTCTGAATCAGTTCACGTGGTTTCACTGCCATCAAGGAGCTCACAAGGACGGAGCCAACCTGTCTATAGGTCATCTTTAACTAAAAGAAAAGTCACAGGTACGTTTCTTTCACATCTACTGTCATCTGTGCAGGCAGTGCTGGGTTTTGGGCTAATGTGACACTTGCTGAAGAGAAGGGAAATCTCTCCCTGAATGTCAGTCATATATGAGTAAGATCCCTAGAGAATGAGATCATCCTCCAGAGTTTACTGGCTCCTTTCCTTTCCTGAGACATCAATATTTTTTCCAATGTTACTTGTCTATAAAACTCTGTCTGGAAGGTCATGCCTTGTACATTCTGTGCCTTTGGGAGACTTGGAAATAGTTACTATAATACTAATAAGGAAAAGCAATAAATCTTTCATTGGCTAGTAGATAGACTAGACTAAAACAATTCTGATTGACAGATAGAAAAGGGAACCTTATAAAAATTCAAAATATCAAATTAGTTTCACTTAACTTTAAAATTTTGTAAATTATTTTCAGAAGGTACTCTGATATGTCAAAACAGCTCACTTCAATGATTTTTTCTTTTCTTTTATTTTTGTATATCATAAAAAAATTAAAGCTGAATTCAAACAACCTGTTTGAAGCACTCAAAAACATAAAATATATACTAATTTTCCATTGTAAAAATTTTTTGAAGAAGGTTTTATTGCCCTTCAAAATGAAACCTGATTTTAAAATCTCAGAATTTTCTTTGAGACAAAAATTCTGCTCTCCAGGTACCTCTAGCAGCACATTCTCCAGAGATGATGAATATTAGTATGTTAATATAACATTTGCTGCGAGTAACAGTTTGGGGGTTAGTAGAATTTTGAAGGACTGGAGAATGTATTAGTATTGTGGTCTTGCAGGCACACAGCTAACAGAAGGAATTATCTTTCCATGAAATACCATCAGTAATCAATGTAATTTGTTTTCCACTCCCACCTGTATTTGTAAATCAACTGTGATGTGTGAATTTTATAGTGTCAGTTGAAGATATTTGCTGTTTTTTATGAAAACTCCAATGTTGTTAGTGATACACTGTTCTGTTTTGCCATTTCAGAGGAGGAGGAGGTGGAGGTGGCACAAGACATAACTGTTCGAGTTATGTCCTCTCAGTCTGTGCTTGTTACTTGGACAGACCCACTGTATGAAAAGAGGAAGGTTGCAGCAAATAGGTACTTAGCCCTGGGTTTATTTAAATGGGTATTGGAGGGGAACTGCTGCTAATGCTCTACTGAATGCTTTTGCATTTATTCAATTGCTGTTGATCATGAGAATAATTTAGCTTGCCTCCTAGCGCCCTGCTCCTTAGCATTTAGAGATCTGTATGAGTTTTGTACTACAGGGGTTTACATCTCTTCCGAAATGATGCCAGCACCAGCTCGGGTATTTGGCTGTTCCAGTGTTGGTATACCACCACAGCCAGCAAATCCCCAAAGATACATGGGGAAAGAAGGAGTGGGGAACAAGGCAGAGCCCACAGAGGTGAGGTGTTGAGTTGAGTTGTCAAAACAGACTAAGTTTTGAGATGACCATACTGTGGGTGGAGGAACCATCACTGCAGTGGGAAAGACACCCATCATTACACCCTGCATCCTCTGACCTCCTAGAAGCTCCATGCAGCTGAGGCTGAACAGGCTGGGGCTCCTGTGAGTGAGAACTTGGCTTGTGGCAGCATGCTGCAGCAGTTGGAGACCAAAAAAAACAAGGAAATAGGCTGGAAACTGCCAAAGATCTGAAAATACTGGGTTGTGTTGCTCAGCCTGGGAACACTGAAGAGCTGTGCAAACTGGCGCTGAAATACCCTGAGAGTCAGAGCAGGAAAGCTTGCAATTTTAGATGTTCTCTATTTCTTTGTGGAAGCAGTTATCTAGGCAGACAGGTGGGAACTGAGCCACTGGTGCTGTTGTGGGAGCAAGGGCCTCCCAGCAATCCAGCCATGCTCGTGGCCACGAGGCAGTGAGATGGTGGTGTGGAACCCCCAAGGATGCCAGCCTCAGTTCACAAAATCCTGCAGCTTTCCCCCAGGGAAGAGGGTGTTTTGAGTCTTGAAAGAGCGGTCCATCCTTTGGGATGAAAACAATCATACTCCATTAGAGGAAGGAAAAAATACAGTGGGTTTTGTTGTTGTTATTTGTTGTTTGCATTTCAATAGGTTCCTCCCTAAACCCCACAAGGCTACTTGAGGGCAAAGCATCCCTGTCCCACTCTGGTTCTGCTAATGTTAAGCTTTCACACGTGAACTTTTATTTTCCTGTGTTTCTGATGCCAGGCAGTATAATGTTCGCTATCGGGAAAAGGGGGAATCGGCAAGGTGGGATTACAAGCAGGTGTCCAACCGGCGGGCACTGGTGGAGAACCTAGTGCCAGACACTATGTACGAGTTTGCCATCCAAATCTTGGAGGGAGAAAAGGAAGGAAAATGGAGCGTGTCTGTTTACCAGCGGACCCCAGAGGCAGGTATGCATTCAAAGGGTCATTGGGGTAACACAAAGTTGTAGGGTTTGAGCTATGGAATAGGGCTGACTTAAGGCCAGAACGAGCCAAGTGATTGATTGGGGCAGCAGAGGGTTGAGAGTATGGGAAAGGCCTCAGTGCTGCTGCCTGCATCCCTGTGGTGGTGAAGCACACCAGGGGAGCACACCCAACTGCTCATGTGGTACAAGGAAAGCAAGGGGAGGTGGCTTAGGTGTTTTTGTGGGATGGGTCCTTGGACCCCTACAGCTAGATGTGCCCCTTCCTTCGAGAAGAGTAACCTGGCTTCCATTCCTTTCTGTGGAGAGCATATTTAAATCCTCCCTCCTCCGTGGAGAAGCTGTCAAGCCCCTTTGGTACAGGGAAATGGTCCATAACAACCAAATTACTGTGTCATTCCAGCTAAGCCACAATAGCAGTCTTGTGCAGACCTCCTGTTCTTAAAAATATGGAATAAAATTTCACTATGACAGTCTGAGAGAGAGATGTGACAGAAACAAGCATGGACCTGAGCCATGTGTACTCTTCATGTTTATCTTGGAAGTAGCTGTATAGGAATCTCTGCTATGGAGCAAAAGGTGTAGGCTGTTGTTCTGACTTGCTGCTTTTGCGTATGGCTGCTTCCCAGCTCCTGCCAGTGCACCTGAAAATTTGGATGTTTGGCCATTAAAGGGGAAACCAACCTCTGTAGCAGCATCCTGGGATGCTCTTCCAGAGAGTGAAGGAAAAGTCAAAGGTGAGTCCTTACTGTTGGTTTCTAACTCCCTCAAGGAGCTGGTGGTCTCAAAGGCAGCTGCTGCCCTGCAGTAAGCTGGAAGCTTGGCTGTGCCAGGATTCGTTCACTTGATTAAACCCAAGCAAGATTTTCACATTTCCAGCCCAGTGTCTCCACAGTGCCACCAAGAAGCCACCATCACTGTCTTCCTGGGATATCACAGAGGTTCCTGGGGTATCATGCATGCACACTTTATCTCTTCTTCCATTAATAGGTAGGTCAAAAATGAGGCTTGAGAAGGAAGTTTCCAGAAAGATTTTTAAGAATTAGTTGAAGAGGAAAAAATGTTGGGTAATTGCCAAGAAAGTGAGTGGGTTTGTGTTGTGTTTTATTTCTAGTTTGTCATGGAAGGAAATCCTCAGCTTAAGAAGCAAGCACAAATCTGATTTCAGCAGACATCATGCATAAATCTTGTGTACTATAGTGTTATTGTACACAGTCATAAACATAATTTGCCAGTTGGCTAAGTTTTACATAGAATTAAAGAAAAAGAAAAAGCTCTTTCTGGGATTTTTTTTCCTGTTTCCCTCTGAAAGCGAGGCTTTTTTTTTATCCTCTTGTTCTTCAGTGGTTAACAGGATTGTGTTCTCAAATTACACAAGTTTTTGGAGGTCCCTTATCACCACTACAGCATCTCAGGACTTGAAAAATTGTTGGCCTGGAGGGAGGTACACCGTGTCTGGAAGACCTACTTTATGTAATCTTCAGGGCAGTGGTGGAATTTCTTCTTTTTTTGAAGTCAGTGGAAGCCATGCCAATTGCTTCAATGGAGCTGCAGTTGTGTCCAAGAATCATTATTTCTGTAAGAAGGGTCATGCAAGGACATTATCTTATATTTCAAGTCTGCTCCTAATTTTGACCAATCTGTAGCACTTTGTGCTGTTTTGTCTGCATTGTTATTAGATGATTCATCCAAGGCAATCATTTTAAAGATACCTAATATTCAAGGGCTGAATGCTTATACACATCTAATATATCATTGTTTGAGTGTGAAGTGTTACAGGAGAGGTCTTATTTTTAAACTAAATAAATGACAAGATATTTTTACTGGCTAACTAAAATCACTGAATTAGCATTTTGTGGTCATTTTGATAGCTTGTGGTAATCAGGAATTTTTGTCTTTTGATCCTTTTGTTTTTCACCCTGTCCTTTTATGTATTTATACCATGTATAAAAATAATGGGGGAAAATGTTCTCCAGTAGCCATTTGATAGTTATCAGAGGCTGCACTAGTGTCTCTGCCATGAAAGCAACTCCTGTCTAAAAAAAAAGGAAAAGAGAAAAGATTCAAACAAAAAAGATTCATTCCTTCTGATACCTTGATTTGTTTTTCAATGAAGCATTAAATGCATTTGCATATAAAATATTGATGATTTTTTCCTTGATTTTGATGAACTGTGCATGGCTTATTTCTTAGAATATGGGCTCACTTTCAAGAAAAAAATCAATGCCATTATGTTTTAGGGTTTTCTCATTGTGGCACTGTGGCTCCTCAGGTATTATTGTGGGGTTTTGTGTAGAGAGAGAAAGATGGAAGCCCATAAAATTTATTATCAAAACCCTGGTCTTGTCTGATACCTGTGCCTCTTACAGAGGATTTGAAAAGAATACAGCTTGCACGTGTCTGAGATCTCACCTGCACTCCTTGGGAGTATAATGGGAAGATTTCTCTTTGTGCTCAGAATTGTTCCTATAGAGGTAAAATTTCTCTCAATGCAGAAAGCTAAGGCAGAGCACAGGTATCACAGTAATTCTAAACTAAAAGGTGAGAGCAGGGTGAGCTTCAAAGTGGTGACCAGACCTTGCTTTGCTCTGTCTGCTGTGGTGTTTGGCCATAGCTCTGGTTAAGCACAGTGTGTCATATTTTGATTTTGTTGGACAGACGTGATGTTGCTACCATTTGGCAAATCTCCAGTGCTGATATTTTCTGGTAGAAGTATCTCTTCTAAATAAGAACAGATATTCAACTTAACCTACATATATACATGTATCTCTCTCTCATGTCTTTATACTCCAGCTGTTGACTCGGCGTGCATTGCTAGTGTATTAATTTTAGTAATGCACGTTCTAATTCATCCTACCCATACAGTCTGTCCGCTGGAAACAGGACTGTTTTCAGTTTCCTCCTTCCAACCGTCTGCCAAATCATTTCAGAATACATTCTTTCATACGCCCCGGCTCTCAAGCCATTTGGAGCAAAGTCCATCACCTACTCTGGAGCTACAACATCAGCCATAATAGACGGTCTGCAGGCCGGGGAGCGCTATATTTTCAAAATTCGTGCAGCAAACAGGAGGGGACCGGGTCCTCAGTCAAAAGCCTTCAGTGTCGCCATCCCAGCAGGTGAGCACCAAGCCATGAACCAATGCTGTAGTTCACTCACTCCTGCCTTGGTCCCAGCTGTGTTAATTCTTCCTGACTCAACTCCTCTGCACTCTGTCTGACCCATGGGATTTCACTTCCTTAATATTGTTTCTGCTTGCTCTTTTCATCATTATATTGTCCAAATAAGTCTTTGCTACTCTGCAGCATACAAAAGGACATTTTTATGGACATTTTAGCCTCTTAAATAAATGCATGCCATAATCTATGACAACATTATGTGCTCTTGTTATCCAGAGGCCAAAAAATTTAATGCTTTGGGTCTTTGGCTTCTCTGTTCCTGATAGCTCTCACTCTCGAACGTCACTTAGTGTCTTACTTGGATACTACTCCTTGTGTTTGGCTCTTGCCGAAAAGTTACTCTTGTTGGGTCAGAATATTTGCTGGGTTAGCTAAAAAGGTGGGACACAGCCTTACATGGGATAGTACAGCACCATACCACCAACATGACTAAATTTTGCTGAAGATTTGGTTCCCTTGAAAGGGTGTTGCAGTCCCTGATTTTATATATTTGATATTAATTGGTCTAAGTTTTATCCAAGCAACAGTAATTCCACATAGATACCTTCCTACAACCCAAAACTTATCTTGGATGGACTCCACAGCCTGGTTAATACAGAAATAATTATTGTCTCGTATTCTCATAAGTTGTTGTGTTATTGCTACCTGGGTGGTTTCTGCTTTTGGTCAGTTTTTGTGAATCTTCTATTGTTGTAAATAAACACTTTTCTTTTTACCCCTAGCTGCTCAGGAGGATTCAGTCGCTCAGCAAAAGACAAATATTCAAGATAATTCAGAGGCTAAAAAGACTGGGAATGCTGGCTTATCTCCTCCTCAAAGTTCTTCTGTTTCTTCAAAAGCCCAGCTGTCACCTTCTTCTAAGCAGCTGTCTGTTCATTCACCTGCTGTTAGTGATAAAAAAAATCTTCTTTCTGAATATAAGAATAAAATCTTGACTCGAGGGGTCCTAAGTAAATCCCAGTTACATTCTAGAAGGACAGGAGAGCTGGAACCTGACCTCCAATCCACTGAGGTGACAGATGATAGCGATTCCTCCCAGGAAGCTACAGCGTCACCGCCAAAAGCCCAGGACCAGAGGAGGAATGTTAAACCCTTGTCCCCTAGTCGGCCAGTCCATCCTGTCCTTGCCTCAGGGAGGACATCTGTTCGAACCCACACATCTGAGATGTCAAGCCAGACGAGCACAGAGAAACGTGAGCCACCAGCACTGTTACCATCATCAGCACAACAGTCTTCTACCTCGTCCGTTCCCAGATACACAGATAATGAAACAAAGCAATTGAGGCAAAGCAACAACAATGTGCCTTCTAAGACCTCTTCCCATCCTCTGCCTTCCAGAAATAATGGCCTTGCAAGTAATGTGGAAGAGAAGCCTGACCCCATGCTGGTGAAAGTGTCTTCTAAAACTTCAGAGCCTGGTCACCAGGCCTTGCCGTCAAATCGGCAGTCTGCTGTCTCTCACGAGGGTGTCTTGGGCCATCGCAGTAGGTCAGGCTCTCTAGGTCATTCGCGTCAAGCTGCTTCCAAATCAGCAGATTCCCATGCTCATGACACCCATAATGAGTTCGACACTGAAGAAGCAGAGGACAGAGCAAGACAGCCCAGTTCTAGGTCACAGCAAACAAGGCTATCCTCAGGCTCCAGTTCCCACGCATGGAAGGATTCAAAATCAGCTGCGGTGTCAGTCTCATCAAGGTCTGCTGTTCCTGGTTACACTTCACCTCACTCTCGCTCCTCCACCAATGCCAAATCCAAGGGAAAGGATGTTGATAAGAATTATAGGGAAGACTCACAAGATGAAAACCCCTTATTTCCTTCTTTGCCCTCTTCCAGGCAGTCTTCTTCAGCAATCTATTCCAAGAGAAGAAATCTTCAGGTCGATTCCAGTTCTCACCCCAGAGACACACATGGTGAAAAATCACCCCACTCTGACTCAGAAGAACAACAAAGTCAAACAGCTGCTCCAGAAAAGCATTCTCTTTTGCAGTCTTCTCTTTCCAAATACAAACCTGAAGAGCAGGGCAATCGAGAGGTAAAAGAAACACTTGCTCGCTCAAAACCAAGAGAATTTTTGCCTAGAAAGACATTATCTTCTCATCTTCCAGTGGAGAAGACCTCCCACTCAGAGCCTCCACAGAGAGCACAAACCAGTCCTTCCATACTGCATTCAAGGGGCCGGCGCCTCCCATCTCACATCTCATCCCAAAGTAATGAAGAGTTACAGGAAGATGATGATGAGGATGGAACAGAGGGTAGTGACAGAGCAAGCAGGCGCTCTGTGTTTCTTAAAGAAGTGTCCTCTTCTGGGGGATTATCTGCATCTTTCTCTCAGGGAAGCTCAAGTTCATCTCAATCAAAGCAGCAGCATCCAGGTTCTCAGGTACATTCCAACAAACCAAAACATACTGTGCCAGACTCCAGTTCTGCCAGTGATACAGCAAAAGGCAACCACTATAATCAAAGGTTGTCACCCACTTTGAGACAAGCTCGTCCTTCACTACCTGCTCGCTCAGGAGCTGCCACAAGAACAGCGTCCCAAACAGAGAAAAAATACGGCCTGTTACCCTCAAAACTGTCTAACACTGAACTTCCTCAAAAAGTTCCTTCCCCCTCTTCATCTAAATCTCATCAGTCAGTTTCTAATGAAGAAGATGATTATTACAGTGAATATGACCAGAAAGAAATAGAAGAGAAACCCACATCTTTGGCAGCAAAACGGTCCCCTTCTGTTTCTAGAGGTAGCAAAAACGTATATGAAGACACTGCTAACAATAAAAGAAAATCTATGGACACTCTTCTACTTCACAAAGTAAGTTCTGAAGAAGAAGAGATGGGAAAACCTTCTATATTAAAATTGTCTTCTCCAGAATCACCAAGAAACTCTGACGTAGCATCACAGATTACTCAGTCCTCAAACAAACATACGCCACCTAAACCAAACTTTGTCTGGCCACGTTCTTCTGCATCTACCACCACGCACACCATTTCTCCAGCAGTTTCTTCCACTTCATCTCCTCGTCAGCGACTACTGAACTCCAGGCTAGGAAACCCTTCTCAGCGGCAATTTGTTAGACCTCCTTATAGATCAGGTATCCTGCCTTTATTGTACTAATGTCATTAATTGTGTTCTTCCCAAGATCAGCAGTTAGATGAAAAGTCCTCCAGCAGGATGCAGGTTCAGTTACTTAGTATAACATGTTGCTTTTTATTTTGGTGGTTTCTGGGAAGCCTAGTCCTTGAGGACATTGCATGTTTGGTGTAACGTGGTGTCCCAAGCCCTTTCTCCTGTAGTCTGATCTGCATGGGATCCCGTGATCCATAGAGAGGGTGACAGAGTTAGTTGCTAAATTGGAAAAGTTCCTTATCAAGAAATGATTTCACCAAATGCTCATTGAAAGCCCATTTGTACTCAGAATATGACAACCTCTCAGGTATGTAGCTCTTCATCGTGCATTGCAAAAAGGCCTTTGTAGGTTCCAAAGTTGCCCATGCCTAGTGAGGCGTTTCTTCATGATGCCCTGGCATTCCATGTTTTCTTTGATGAGTTTTTAAGCCACTTTCCTCTTTTTTCTAAGTGACAGCTTGGGGTTGCCCATACCTGTTGAGGACTGCACCCATCACAGCCAGGCCATCTAATACCTTTATGGCTGTGATTTACCCCAGAAGTTAGAGACTTGCTTTTTGACAGAATATCTGTGGACCTGGGTAGTAGACTAGAGGGTCCACTACACATCAAGGTATTGATTCCTCATGTCACCTATGGAAAATCCCCGACAGCCTCAGTGACTTGGCTAGGTAGAAATACCTTTTCTCCCTCCAATGCATGGACATTCAAAATATTATTTAGTGACCTGGGTGTTTTAGTAAATACCTTCTGTGTTATCTGTAGATAGTAATGTTTTGTTTGAAATGGCCTCACTGTTACACAATGAGGACTGTGCAGCTGGGCTGTTGCATCTGATATACTTTAGTCAGACTCTGTGTTGTGTAGAGGTTCACCAGATTAAAGAGCTTTATGATGGGAGTAGACCTTGAATAATACCATGGGGGATGAGATGTATGGTGTGAAAAAAATAACAGATTTCTATATGGAGGTTATTTAAGGTTACTACTAGCAATGCAATTGTAAAGTTATAGCTCACAAGTATTCAGTTAATTTTTTTTCCAGTCTATATTTTTTTTCCCATTGTATTTTTATGAAAGCATGTCTCTGAGATAAGATGAAAATTGCTGCCCTTTCAGAGCTGGGGGGCCTACAACTCAGTGCTACTGCTTGTCCGCTTGCAACCTGAGTGTGCTTCTGTTTAGCAGTGGTTTTTCAGCTAGAGAAGGAGATTCCTTCCTTTTCCAGGTCAAAAAAAATAGGTGTAGAGAAAACTCCCATGCTCTTTCTTTTCAGTTTGTCACTACAGCTTTGTATAAGGATAGGATTGCACAAGGGTTGTGTTTAATAATGGTTTCTTCCTCCATCCCATTTCTGAAATGCTTACAAAGATGACAAACATTTTAATGACTGTAGTGCCATGAAGAAATGTTGCCCTGCTTTCTTAAAAAAAAATAAATAGAGGGAATAGAGAGACCAAATAAACAAATGACAGAGATGAATAATGAGTGTTTAACCTCTTCAGAAAAAGCAATTTCAAATTCTTGTATCAGCTGCAAAAATCTGACAGTGTCACAGCAGTTGCTCCAAGAAGAAATGGAGTGCCTGGTTTGTGGAGTATGGTGAGGCCTCTTTCTGTTCTTGTTTATATTCAGATCAGCCAGAAAATGTATTTACTTGCAATTTAAAATATGGCTTGTAGGTTGCACAGCTTTCTTCAGAATAGTGTTTTCTTCCCTGTTTCAGGTTATAATGGCAGACCAAATCTTACAACGAAAAATGGAAATGGAAAAGTAATCCCCGGTAATAATGGAAAACCAAGCGGACAGAAAGTAATCAATGGCCCTCAAGGAGCAAAGTGGGTAGGGTGACCTTCTCTTTAAATTCAAGATGTTTTGGCCTTTTATTTTACTTGTATTTTTATTAAGAAAAGACAGGCAAGCAGTGTCCTTAGTCAATGTAGCTATAATGTGAAGCTATACTTAGTGGTTTAGTTTTCACTGTTCCACTGAAATCTAATGACAAATTTTGGGTTTTAACATTTTAAATTTAAAGCCTGATGAGTTGAATTTTAAACTATAACATTACTCCTGTAAAATTTAGAGAAGCATTCTATCATCAGAGTCAGTGAGATTTGTGCTCCCCAGTGACTCAGAGACTCTTCACACAGTGGGCTCTTGTCTGCTGTGCAGAGTGGAGACTGCCTGGGAGAGGTGCTGTGAAAGATGTGTTCAGCAATGCTTCTCCCAGACTTGTGCTCCAGGTAGAAGCTCCTGAGCAAGACTTCTGAACAAAAAGCAACTCCATAACTGTCACGATGCTTTAAATGCACTTACGTAGTTTTTGCCACTCTGTTACAGACGTGTTTCCAGAGGTATATGCAGAAGAGCTCAGATGCCATTGATAGGACAGCCCCACAAGCTGCATATATGTCCACACCTTGTCTTTTGAAATCCTTTACATTGAGTTTTTAACCAATAAAAGTAAAGGAAGGACCTGGTGCTTCCTGAATGTTTTCCCAAGTGCTGAGCAGTTGGAGTCTGTGATCAGCCTCCCTGGCAGCAGTAGAGTTGCTTGCACATGGCATGACACATAATGACATTTATTTTATGGCCTCTTCAATGGTACCATTTTCATTAGAGGAACATTGAAAGGTGCATTAGGTGTGTCACATTCAAGGGAGGCATTTTGAAAAGCCTGCCCAAAGTCCTTCAAATGGACTTCAAAATGTGGGCTAGAAAAGGCCTTGGAATGCCGTGGGGCATTTCTCTGCTCTCGAGGGGAAGGCATTGCTGCAAGCAGGATGAACACCTTGTAAAGAAAGAGGATCTATGCCAAGTCTGGGGCCTGGTGGGCTTCATAGACTGATCTCATCATCTGCTGTCCTTCCTGCTGCAGTCTTCCTTAGCACCAGATGTACGTCTGTCTTGCCAACCTGGAATTGATGCTTCTGTCCCTTGTGCTGGTTTTTGACTCAGTGTCTGTTACCTGAGGTTAAAACAGCATACAGTTCAGCTGTTTGGGGTTGAAATAGCAACAAGGACTGAATTTTAATTGCACTTAGCTCTGGAATTCAGTCCAAGCTCTCAGACATATTTGCTTTATGTGACAGAGGCTTTTCTTCAGTCTCCTACCCCAATTAAAATCTTAGCTACTTTGTTTTCACTGCCATTTCAATATAAAGTAACGAGTCTAATATTTAGGGTTTGTTTTTTTTAGTTAGACATAATTCTAAATCCCATCTTCAAAATGACTCAGCTCATTGTAGTGAAATCAGTATTACAGGAATTCACCTTAGCTGTCACACAGCCCAAGAAAATCAAGGGTTTTGCTCATTTACAGAGCTACAGTAGGTGATATGAATTTGGCTGTGCAGCTCTGGAGCCCAGTTCCTAGGAGTCTGCTCTCTTCAGCAATGATATCTCAGTGATTACTATACACTTAGTCAGTTTTAAAAGTTCAATTGTGTTGTAGCTATTCCTGAACATCACACTTACTGTCTGAATTTCCCCAGGATTCCTGTTGTTGTGAAATTTAATTTCACCTTCTCTTGGGTTAGCTAAACTTGAGTCCATCTATTGCTTTTAGATTGTAGATCTTGACCGAGGGCTAGTGTTAAATGCTGAAGGAAAATACCTTCAAGACTCCCAAGGCAACCCTCTCCGAGTGAAATTAGGAGGGGATGGACGTACAATTGTTGGTAAGTTACAACTTCCTTCTTACAGAAAAAAGCTCTACAGTTTTTGTACACTTACAAATTTTTGAGCTGTGGAATGCTTCAGGCATTCCCCAGGTCCCATGCAAGCCATTTGGAGTTGCTTGTACCTCAAGCACATTGTGGTATGTGGGGAGTATCACTTTTATCAGCATTAGAAAGGACTGCAGAACTGAGCCAGAAAAAAGGCTGATGATAGAATAAGGATTGATGATTACTTATAGCTTTGTACATATAGAAATAATTATTCCCCACTGCTAGCACTGTATCAGCCATATGGATGTGTTTATTTAATTTTTTTCTTCTAAAAATGACCACAAATAGTAAGAAACCCTGTTTGTGTTCTCTGAAGACACTGCTGTTTGCATGTCAGTCCATCTGTACAGATCTCTCAAATACAAATTCAGTGCCTATTGTTAAGCTGGCTACCATGAATATTTACAGTACGCAGAATTTGGCACACAAGTTTATCTGCAGTGGCAGCATCTTGCCAGCTCATCCCAGTTTTTCTTTGCACATGTTTGACATTAAGGAGCAGAATATGGATTCATCATACATTTCATCAACAGTTGTGAGAGTGACTTAGATGAAATGCCTTCACTGCACATTGTGATTCTGCAATGAAACCTCCCTGCAGTGTTTATCAAACAGCTGAAAAATGTGAACACCACTGTGGTTTCTCTGAGGTTCCTCTGAACCGTTTTCCAGCTTCCTTAGCCATGGCTCTTTCCTCCTCTGTCAGTTTAGTTACAGGAGGCTGCATTCACTGTATCCAGTGTTTTTGTGGCATCTAATGTGATAAAACACAGTAATGCTTAGTGCTGTAATCCTGCAGTGGCTTATATTAATGGTGAGATTTTTTGGTTTTGCTCTTCTCTCTTAGATGAAAAGGGCGCTCCAGTGGTGAGTCCTGATGGACTGCCTTTGTTTGGACATAGCAGATTTAATAAACCTGTAGCGAGTGCACAAGATAAGCCAATAATAAGCCTTGGAGGAAAGCCTCTGATTGGTCTTGAAATGATTAAGAAAACAACCACTCCCTCAACTACTACTACAACAATACCAACAACAACTACCACGACAACTACCACAACCACTACAACAACTGTTGCTACAACCACCACCACCACCACCACCACTCCTGAGCCGACCACCACTGACCCACCCACCGAGAAACCCGCACCAACCTGTCCTCCAGGCACCTATGGGCAGTATGATGATGAAGGCAACTTGCTCCTGGGGTTTGATGGCCTGCCAGAGTGCAATGCAGAAGGTAATTTCCTTTTGTGCTGTTTGAGTTTCCATGGCTGTGCTGTTTGTAACAGATGTGGAATGGTGGAGAATCTGCCTCTGAATATTTTGGTCCTTTTGATAAGGTAGGAGCTGAGAATATGGCATATGAAGAGGGGTTTGGGTGTTAAATGGACTTTCACTGGAAAATGCCAACTTTCAGCAAAGCTGAAGTTTTTTATGGAATTGTGTTGTTTTCAACTAATTTCTTACATTATGTTGGATCCATTTTTATTGCATATGTTCACTCACAGGGGTACAAGTATAGGCAGTAGCTTTGTGGTCAAAGCACTTACATATAAGTTTTTGTCATTCCATTTCAGGCCAGAGTAGGACCTGGAGGAGCTATGTATTTTGTCTGTTTTGTGTCCACTTATCACAATGAATTCTGAAAAGTCTCTCTTTTGAGCCATGGTGGAAACAGCATTTGCAAAGTGACATTCTTGTTCTCTTGCCAGCCTTTGGAGATAGATTGTCTAGCAGGAATGCAGCACAGCACAGATGAAGCTGGTGAAAGGCAACCCAGGTTCTGCACAGATAAGGCAGAGAGTTGTACACTGATTTCTTTAATATCTGAAGATATGAACCAGTGTCAGTGTGTGTCATTTTTTCCCTGTTGCAGTTATATAAGCTTAGGTTGTCGTGTCAAACTGAAATCTAAAGTAAACACATATAAGACTCTAGAGTCTTTGAGTACTGATCCCGTTCCCTATCATGTTTTATGCTTTCAGCACCTGGATGTTGCATTGCAAGTGAATTAGCTGCTTATTTTGCCAAACCAGGTCAGGGACCACCATGGTAGCCCTTACCCTTCCCATTTGTAGGTAATCCTCAACTCAGTCTACTAATGGGCAATAGCAGCACAGCCATAACTTTACCAGTGTGTTGGCAGTCAGACATCTGACAACTGCAGCAGCCAGTTTTAATGGGTAATGAAGCCCCTTTACCTTTCTCCCATACACCTGTATCTTCTAAGTCAAAGTAGATTTACACGTAGGTCACGTAACCATGGCCTAGGAAGCTGAGCTATCACTTCGAAAAAGGGCAGTGATATAGAAACGTGTGGCTTCAGCAACTCACAAGGATGGCATCTTGGGAGATCTCAGTAGCAGAAAACAAAATTCCCTTACCAGTGGCCCATGGTAACTAATGAGTCAGAGATATCAGTTCCTTGTGCAGGTGAAATTACAATGAATTATAGTGTAACAATTAGCCCAGCCCTGAGAAATTTGACAGCGTGCAGTAATAGAAGTGTGTTTGCTTGTGTAGATATGCTCAGATGTGTACACACACAAACATATGTATGTAAAAATCATATCATCATTAAATATTAATATGAAGAGTTTTGCTTTTCCCTATGGAAAGTTCATAGTTATTAATTGTAGTTACAACAGTGTTACAAATATTGTTATATGTAGTCACTCTCATACTTTCAAAGTTGCCTAAAGGGAACCATGATTTTTGGTAATTAGAATCCCTCCCACACACCCCCAGCTCTTTTAAGCTCTTTTTTTTAAGCAAAAACCCTTTTGCTTGTCTTAAAAGTTGATTATATCCTGTAATGTTTCCTCTTATTTCCCCTGTGCTGTTTGGTACCTGGAGGATCTCTTCTGACAATACACCTTGTACGAACAGTAGAAGTTCATGACATATATCTGGGACAAAACTGAAAGTAGGCTCCAGGAGCTGAGCAACAAAATCCTTTGTGGTGTTATGTTTATCAGAGTTGTGGGCTGGGGAATTTTCATGTGATTTTCTGAACACATAAAAAATTCTGCTTGGGTTTTTTGCCTTCTACCAGATGGGCTTGCTGAATTTTTGAACTTGATAGAGGCACAAATGAAAACTAAGTTTATATTCAGGTTGTGTGTTCAATGAGAATGTCTTTAAAGTAACTCATAAGCTGCCTGGCATTTTTGACAGTATTATCTGCAAATGCCTCACAGTGGCAGACTGAAAGGACAAGATGGTGCTGGATTTGTGCTTCTTACCTGGTTCTTAAGGCTTCCTACCTTACAGCTTGAGCAATATTAGTCCCTACCTGGGAATTCTGAAAGCTTCTCTAAAGAGTCTTTTTTAAGTTTTTTTAAATCCTAGTTACCTGCTTCAGTTTTAGATAAACATAGCAAAACAGCCTGCCTGTTCCACAAAAGAACTTGCTTGAAAAGAAAAGATCTTTTTGGTATTTATTTAATCATGGCTATTATTGTTTAACAAGTGAAGTGTTTATTTCAAGGGGGGTAATCAACTATTACTTGAATGATCAAAACAATGCAATTTTCATTTGATCATTTCCAAATTATATTAAATTATATTTTTATCTTGTCTTTCCCTTTAATCTGAGTCTAGAAAATATTCCACACTGTTTAGTGGAATACTTTTTCTGCCAAAGCTTGATATTTGTTGCTAAGTACTTTACTCACAAACAGACAGGGGCTGCAAGTGCCAAATCTCAACTCCAAATGTTCTTCTTCAGCCTTGGCAAATTCTTTTATCTCTGGCAGGATTTTTTCTCGATCCAGCAGAATTTATTGTCAGCTTTTCCCAAGATTCAGCAGTCTTTAACTTTCAAGGAGGAGTTTGGCCACACAGGCGTGATTTGTCAGTGAAATCAACTAAACTTTATACATGAACTCACAAAGGAAAGAACAGGTGGAGACTTAAGCACTCATTACATGAGATAAAATCAAGTGATGGATTTTGTTAGACAAGACAACAAGACTGTCCTTATAGATGCCAAAAGTTTGTGGCAAGTGGTCATAGGAAGATTTGGCCCCATTTGTTACAGGCAGGGTTTACTCAAGAGCTTCAGCAAAGGGTGATGGAGCAAGGTGAAGAACTGCTGCTGGAGTATGTACAGAAAATAATAAAATGAGAGGTCTGTTGGGCAGTACTCTTATCATCACCATGACAGAGCTAGAGCTAAACAAGAACAGACACTGAAATTGAGTACAAAAATAGAAAAATAGAAATTTGGCTTTGCTGGACTGTAGGTAGGCCAAAGACTTACTAGCTAATAAGCATGGATGAGTTGAAATCTGCCCATGAAAGATTTCAGATTTCTGCATATCTGATCCTCTTGATTACTTGGATGTAGGCAGTCAAAGGTAAGTGCATACATTATAGATGTTGGTTGATGTTGGCCAGTTGTGGGTAGATCTGAATAATTCAGCAAAGAATCTACTTTGTGACTGACTAACCTCAGAGAAGTCAAGTGACTTCCAAGGGGATCATCTCCTGAAGACTGGCTGCAGAAGTCTACCATGAAGAAATGTCAGATTCTAATATATGAAAGTCTGACAAGAATAAACCCATTTCCTGTGTTTTAAAGCTTATTTTGGCATTAAAATCACACAGTGTATTAAAAGAAAATTATTTTACGAGAAAAAAAGCAGTTATACAGTAATTGTTGATTCTAAAAAAAATCAGCAAAATAAAAATGTATCATTCAGATTATATCTGTGAACTATTTAACACTGGCAGTTGAAACTTTGCACTGTTTGCAGTTCTGGTTTAGTAAAAATACCAATATTGCTTCCATATGGAGTGTTACAGGAATGTAACCAATGTATGTGAAGTGTCCTGAGGTCAAAGCTGTCTTTCTCTTGTCTTTGTTCACATGCTGGCAACTCCCCAGCCCCAGCATGGCACTGGAGACTTCTGATGGTACCTGCAGCACAGGTTACACCAAAGTGCTTTTGCTTTGTTTGCATGGCTTTTTTGTGACTGTACTGAGCTTTGTGTAGTCTCTGGCTTCCCTAAATAACTTGGAAAAATGCTTTCCTCAGAGTGTGTAGGAAAGACTTTGGGACTCATCAGATGTACTTGATGGCTGATGTATCTGGTACTGGAGTCATGTCCTGCAGAGATAATGAGATAATATAAAGGAATAGTCAGCTGGGAGGTCTATTGGTGCAGCTGCATTGGATTTTGTGGTGGATCAGCAGAGTGTTTTTCATGTGCACCTTATAATCATCTGTCCTTACTGTGCTTTCATTTGCATCCCGGAGCAATCTCACTCTGATTTCCTGAACTGAATTAATGTTGGATGAAACTAATGCAGAAACAGTGCTTCACCTGTGTGGCCCAACCTGTGATGGGCAGCCATTCCATAGGACCAGGGTAGAGCTAGTGCAGAGTAAAACCCCAGAGAATCCAGCCCTAATTACTTCATTCTACTAATCCATTCCTTTTAGGCTGCATTCCTTGCAAGACCATTGACATGGTTTATAAATGTCATGGCTCTGTGGGCTGCTTGTTTTTATACCTCCACAAAAATATTTGGGTAAAAATATTTAATTGTTTGGTTGGTTTCTTTGGCATATGTTTTCACATCTGCTGCTTCTGAGACTATAAAATATTGTCAAATCCAGATGTGATCATTATGTAGTTGCTGGCAGCCCTATCTTTCACCAGAGCAGCTGGGGCCTGGGGCAGAGCTTCTGGAAGGTGATTACTCTTAATTTTGTGTAGCAGTCCTAAACCCATTTTTCCCCAGAAAAACTCCTGACTACTGTACTTAGCATCTCATCTGTTATTCCCAATGTGCAGAGTGGACTGTCACTGCATTATTTGGAAACCAGGAAGTTATCTGTTTTCTTTACAATTCAGCTGGCTAAATATTTTTATTTTAAACTTTATTCCAGAATTCTTTTATTGAATTCTTATAGCATCTTTTTCTTTCTCTGTCAATAGATACATTCTCAGGACTGGATTCAGATGTGACAGCAACTCCAGAAGCATATGTGATATATGATGATGGTATGGTTTAACTGTAGAGGTCTATTGCAAGTGGCATGTTGCTTTTTTCTCTTTTTTCTTTGGAACTGTGTTCAAGGAGGCAGATTGGTAAATGGGAGCTTAAGCAAGTGGTGGTGAGCTGGAAAATGGTGAGCTACATCACATGTGAAGGAAAGGGGTCCAAAACCATCTGTTTCTGGACATAAAAATCCCTTTCTATCTGTCCTGCAATCTATCAGGAATTTCCTATTGAGGAAATAAATTACTTTTCAGAGCTGTGTCATACAGACACTGCTTTGATCCCAGATTCACTTTCTCTGGTGCAACTTCTAACTCCTGCCCAGTCAAAGTCAATTACCTCCTCTAAAATACAAAATCCAAATAACATTCAAGCCCTGAACATTTTGAAATACCGTAGCGAGTTCTTTCTTTAATGTGTAGTCTGCATTTAGACAATTAAGCATGCTCATACTGAATGAGATCACCTGGATGCAAAGTAATTAATCTGCTTAATTAATGTGTAATTCAAATCAAAGAGATGTGAAATCAGATGAAAGGAAAAGAGGGAAATATTTTTTTCAGGGTTATATTAATGCCATGTTGGTATTATAATCAAGGACATACAAAATTTAGCTGAAGAGGAAGTGTCAAATCACAGCATTAAATTGTAAGTTTGCACAGGGAATGCAAATTCTCAATTACTGGAACTGAAATTCACTTTCTGCCATCAGTGACATCTGATGTTCTATCTCTTTTAGTCCTCAAATTCCCGCTTCTGCCCTCACATATGGAAGTGGATAAGTACAGACCTCAGTGAAACAAAAAGATTTTTAGTAGAATTTATGGCTCTAGAACAATGTCATTTTTTTAATTTGTGGTTGTAGTTATGGGATCTTAAGTCTAACCAACAACAGAAAAACATTTAAAAAGAGAGCGCAGCAGTGGACTGAAAGATACAGAGATTTGTACTTTTAATTCCAATCACTTCATACTGAAACTGACATTTAGAATGTGGGAGGAGGGGATGAACTAGAAACAGCACAAGAATACATCCCATATTCCTTACATCTCCATGGATGCAGAAGATCCTCAGTGCACAGGTCTTTTGCCAGGTCTCCCCTTAGGCACAGCTCACCTGCAGAAAATACACGCTGTAGCAGTTTAAGCACAAAACACTCAAAGACAGGAGCTGAGTTCCCCAGGCTGCATGAACTCATGGCAGGGATGCCAAATGCTACTTTCCCTTCATTTTGTGTGCCTATCGGGTAACACAATAGCTTTTGAAAGAGTACTGAATTTAATAGGGCTGAACTTTATGAGATTCGTGGGGGACAGTTTGCCTTCCTTCATATCCCTGCAGGGACCACAAATGGGGAGTACTGGGCTCTACACCTCCAGTCACAGGAGGGTTTGAGAGCAGTATGAACCACCTCTAGGGCTTTAAAATTGCAACACAGAGTTTTCTCAGCCATTTTTTTCTCTCCCTTCTCGAATTCCTTCAGCATCTGAGGGCTTTGGCCAGGGATTCAAAATGTGCCATCTTCTCTTGGGTTTTGTGAGAGGAGGTGGCAGATGCACATTCAGGATATTCCTGTACAAATACATTTGTTAATTTTCATCCTGTTTAACTGTGTGAGTGAGGTCTAAATCAGCAGTGACATGAGTATTCTCAAAGATGTTTTCCTTATCCATCAGCTTGGTAGAAACCATTCCAAGGCTGAAGTGTGACCAACCTTGGCCTAGAGTTCTGTAAGGAGTGTGCAGTGGCCAGGGCAGGCTGTGTAGCACTTCTTTGGGACTGTGGCTGGTGAAGAATTGTTTCCATTCTCATAGTTAAGCCAAAATTAGATGAAGCATGCTAACATTTTCATCTTATGTTTCCTCTGAAGACTACGAGTTTTTTGAGAGCACTTTGCCGCCGACCACCACCACCACCACTGTCACCACTACCACTGCTCCTACGACAACAGAATTGGAGGCTGTCTATCCGGAGACCAGTGTTGTTGGCACTGGCCCTGTGTCAGAATATGATATTGCTGGGAAGAAACGCTTCACAGGTAAGGATGCCCTTTGGTTTATGTAGCTTACTACTTGTGCTACAAAGAATTCTTGTTCCAGCAAGGCCAGCCTTAAGCTCAGACCATTGCACAAACACATCCAGTAGATGTGTATGTGGTCCTTTTAAGGATTCCCACCTTCAAAACACAAACAGCAGTACTTTTTTCCTTGCTTCTGTGCTTGCATGTCTATGTGTGGGCCCACAATAATTTTGTTGAACCAGTAAAAACCTCTTCATACTCTTTCATTGTAAGTGCTCTGCTCTGTGTTCTGCATTTTGTGTGGTCTAGCTGAAGTTAGTAAGAGAGCAAGAGTGTCTACACCAGTGCTCAATTCAGCTTAACTGCATCTAACCTCACACCAATAGTTCCAGCAGGGCAAGTCTCCACCTAGGTGTGAGTCTTCCTCTGGGGTACCTGATTCTTTCACACTGATCTGTTAAACCCCAGTGATTTCATCCACTTTGCGCAAGCATGTATGTCAAAGGGGTGCTTCTAAGTCAAGGAATGAATGGCATTTTGGACATGAACTTTCCAAACAATAAATCCAGTAGAGATAAATATGATTTTGGTATTTGAATGTTTTCTTGGTAGAAGGCATTTGGTGACGGAACCCCCATTACATGAGCCATGTTTCCTTTGTACATGAGCCATTCAAGTGTATAGGTTGCTGTTGCAGCACTGACTTCAGAGCTGCTCTGCTTCTTTGTCAGAGAAGCAGCTGGGGGTCAGGAGAGAGGGATTTGCAGATTGTAGGGCAGCGCATTCCAGCCTCCACCCCAGACTGGTGACACCCCCTGCAGCCCTTTTCATATTTCTGGCACTTGAACTGAGGTCAGGTCAGCTGCTGACTCACCTGGAATTTCAGAAAAGAGTTCAGGGGATGGAGAATCATCTTTGACATGTCTTGGCTTCCCTTCCAATATCCACAAGCTTCATGTGACTTAGAGTGGAACTCTCTGCTGCTGGAGTAAAAAATTTGTTTTTATAGATGCCAAAACTTTTTCCAGTGCATCTTCAGTTTCCCTGTCCAAACAATTTCATGATATTTCTATTCGGCTCTCTCGCTGACAGTGCTTCTTGATTCATTTAGCTGGAGAGGCTAAAATTAACTTCATTGCAAGATCTGGAAAAAATTCCTTTAGGGCATGAAATCCAGTAAGATAAACCAAGAAACGTTGGTTTATGAACATTTCAAGGCACTAGGGGAAATAATATTACCATTTCAATGAATTGTATTATTGCAACTGAATAAACATTTCCAAAGCAAGTTTTATAGTCCTTACTTTGAATGTTACGGTGACTTTTAAGGCAATAAAAAGATGGTTTAATCTTTTCCTGAACTGAAGTGAAATTCCAGTCAGTATAAAGCTTTTAAAAATAGAATTTACAGGTTGGGAGCCTGGAATGCCTGGAAGGTAGGGACTCATGGCTCCTGGTCCCTTAGTACCCAGGGGACCACAACAATCCCTTTAAACTGGCTGGACTTCATCTTGGAATTATTCTTCATGTTTCTTTTCTTGTTTTGATCCAGCTCCAGGATGTCTGTGTAAGAACCAACCACTTAGACCTGTAAAGTCTCAGATGATTGAAAGCCCTGGCAGGGATCTGTTCCCATGCTGGAAAGGCAGAATTTGGGTGGCATTTCATCCCACCTTCCAGAGCAGCTGGAGGTAGCGTGCAGAGGGTGCTGCAGTCAGACTGCTCTCATCCGCCTCCTGTAGCAAAGAAAGTCCTTCTATCTTTGCATAATTTGGTACAGTTGGGAGTGTGGGGTAGGCAAACCTGAATGTTGGCATCACATTCCCCCTGCTCATCTATCAAATTGGCTGTATGCCATGCTTTGTTGGCAGTGGTCTCTGGACTGGACAGTGATTAATTTTAAAACGCACCACAAAACTTGACTCTCTTTAGGAAATTGCCAGTCTGTGTGCTACTCTGGGATACCTCAAACTGCTAATTAAATGCTGCCCTTCCCTGTCTTTTCTAGCTCCTTATGTGACCTATCTCAATAAGGATCCAGCAGCCCCCTGCTCCTTGACAGAGGCCCTGGAGCATTTCCAAGTGGAGAGCCTTGATGAAATCATTCCCAATGACTTCAGAGAGAAAGATCAGCGTCCCCTGAAAGCCCCTCACAACATCACTGTTGTGGCAGTTGAAGGCTGTCACTCCTTTGTCATTGTGGACTGGGCCAAACCTGCTCAAGGAGACATGGTAACAGGTACGCTCCTGAGGGTTTCTCTCCTGATGGGAGAGTGGAGAAGGGGAAGCTTTTCCTGAATGACCATTTGTACTAGTGTCTACACAGTCAATTATCACTTAAAACAGAGAATGAGAGGTTACCTCTGTCATCTTTTTCAATTCACAACTGGGTGCCTCTGATGTAATGCACCATCCTTATTAGCTAATGGTAGGAAATTCTTATAGGCCAGGATTTTCCAGGAGAGTTAGGCATCACTTTCATATTAAAAGATGTTTCAGCTCCTTTTAATCCTTAAAATTTACCATGACACTTAGAGATATCATTGATTTAAAATTTAATTATAATCCTCACAACTACTTCTGTTCACAGGCTATCTGGTTTATAGTGCATCCTATGATGACTTTTTAAAGAATAAGTGGTCAACCAGGACTGCAGGGTCTACTCACTTGCCAATTGAGAACCTGAAGCCAAACACACGGTAAGGATTTGATCCACTCCTTTTCAGTTCTGTTAAGGAAATAAAAGAAATTTTGAGAATTATCAGTTGTTTTTCTTGGTCTTAGTATAAATGTTTACATCTGATTTAGATTTTACTCATTCTGTTGGACAGCAAATTGTTCTATAAACTGTACAACAACAACATATTTATTTACCATATTATCTCTGGAGCAGATGGCAGTGTGTACATGTATATATGTTTGCGTGTATGAAAACACGTATCAGTAACAAAGAAAACCTTGTTCTAAAATGCATTTTCTAGTCTTTTGCATAACTGAATCAAATGTTGGGGGGAAAAGTATACTAAAATATAAAAAATATACTAAAATATACCCATGATGTGATTTGATGTGATGTGGGCCATTCCAACGTATGTGTGGCCAAGATCTGATGCCTAAAGGCTGCTGGGGAAGTGCTGCCCACTGGTCTGTTTTTGCTTTCTGTTCACATGAATAGTGCTGGAAGAGAAGGCTTGGTGGTATAAAGTGAGGCTGTGGAGCTTTAGGTTTTTATCTTACAAAAAATCTGACTGAAGTGGCAGAACAAGAACACATGCTTCACATGATACTGGAATAATTTGTGGCGACTGGGGGGAAAGTAAGCAGCTAGAGAGGGACCGCATTCAAATTACTCCTTTAGAGAGATACTCAGTGTCTCACATACTTGTCTCTCAAATCCTGAGCCCAAAATTCTTTTGGTGCTCCCTTGGGCTAGGCCTTTCACATGCTGTTGTCTGCAGTCTTATAGTCACTGGTGGAAGGTGTTGCTCACACAGTGGAGAGATTCACTGGGAATGTGGGCTGGAATTAACATGCCTTACTTGACCTGCAGATCTGAGGATTGACTGCTTGGAGAGGCACATAGGGTTTGTGCTAGGACAACACAGCAGAAAGAAACAGTGTCATGCATCTCCATGAACCTGGTGACTGTCTTGTAGAATTAAGGTTCTGTTTCATAATAGAGAGGTTCAAGCAAGTGCTATTTATTTAAGTGTATTGTTTTACCAGCGTCTTCCTGAAGATAGTATAATCCACTGGCCCCTAATTGTATGCTCTGTCAAGGCAATAAAGGCTTCATGTGGGGTCTGTGGTGGAGAACGAAGGATCTTTATAACAGAGAAATTGTATGTATCAGCCATTCTCATTTACATTCTTCAGACCCACAGACGGAATTGATCGCATACCTTTTGTTATAAAAATAGCTCCCTAACCAGTAGAAAAATATACCATGCCTAAGAAAATACAGCAGGAAAGCTGAAGTTAGTCTAAAAATTTTGTGTCTGCATTGTTAGTTCATTTTGTGAGAAATGTCTAAGTCATTTACTGTAAGCAGACATTGTTGTCTACTGGGCGTCCCACAGGGGGCTATGGGTGGTGCAGCCTTGCAGCATGTGCAGTGTATGAGAATCAGGTTGGCATCTTGGCTGAAGTTAGCACCAGAGAAGATTTCAAGCTGTTAACATATCCTGGAAAACATCTGCCTGTTATTTAGGTTTTACAAACAAAACAGAAATCTATGTTAAATCCATGTCATAAATTTTCTTCTGAGGCCTGGTCTGACCTCCATGTGAGAAGTGGAAGTTTTTCCATTAGTGAAACTCTGCTCAGCTTCAGTGGGCATAGGAGCTGCTTCCCTGTGACGTGTGATTGTAAACACTAAAATTACTTTAAAACATATTAAGTCTTGAAACCAGTAGTTTTGACAAGATCCCTTCCCTAACTTTAATTCTCAGCTGTCACAAAAGATGATGCAAAGGGCTGGACAGAATCTGCTCAACCACCAAATCCAGTCTTCTGCAGTCAGAAACATTATAATCCTTGCCATAAACATTTCAGTCCCCTTCCTGAGCATGGTTAGACTTTATCCTGCTGTTTTCAGGAAAGCTGTGTCAGTGCCTGATGGGAGTAGCTAGATAATCTCATGAGTCTCATGATTTACAACATCATCCTTCACCCCCATATCTCCATGTCTCCTGAAATCTTTCACTCTGTTCACTTGGGCTTTGTTCCATCTGGGGATATTTTGATCCCACAGTGCCTGCTACCGATTCCAGTGTTGTACAGAGTATTTCATAGGAGGTTCTTAAACATTTACTTAGGGCTTACAACTGCAAACAGAGCTTGGATCTTCTGTTTCAGGGGGCCAGATGCACCAAAAATTTCTACTTCTTTTCTATATCTCCATTAAAACAAAGCCACAGTATGGCCAACAAGCAGCATCAACCACAGGTGGCTGCTTTGTGCCACCAGGGCCACCCAGAAGAGCTGAGATGCCCGTGAAATCGTTGTCCTGTGCGATGGTAGACCTGTGTGGCACATACTTGCCTCACACCAGCTCTTTAGGAAGCACTTCTGCCAGCTTGGCTTTAATGTCTTATTATAAAATTAGTTGTAAATATTGACGAGGGATGTAGTGGTGGGACGCTTTAGATGGAGACAGACACTTAGCCTGAAAACCTGCAGGCACTGATTCACACATTTTTCTTATGGAGGAATGGTGTAGTTGTAGGAAGAGGACTTTAGCCCTTGCTGCCATCTCAGCCTGCTGCTGAACAGAGTGCAGGGCTAAGGATCCATGCAGGCATGCCTTTGGAAAGTCTGGAAAAAAGAATTTGCAGCTAGCTGATTTATTTTTTTTTTAAAGCTGCTTCCCTAATTATCATGCTGAGTGATTATCTCACTTTGCACTGGGAGTGCCAGCTATTTAATTCCAACAGAAGGGAGGCACCTTGAATTAAGTCAAAGAATAATTTTACTCCAAATGACAGGTATGTTGAACAATTACTCATGTAGTCTAAATGAAAAAACGTTATATATTGAGTGCCACTACATTTCACCATGTCCTTTCTTGACATATCACCAGAATTGGTATATAAAATCTCAAAGAAAGTTAATTCTTAGGAGGAAAAGCCTCTTTCTTGTTTATATTGAAAATGAACAACAAATGGTGCTGCATCTGTTGTGATTCTTCTGTGCCTCATGGTAACAATTTATACAGTTCTGCCTAAGCAAAGTGTAAATCAAATTATATATTGAAAATTTTGTTCATGTATTTATGTGATGAAAACCAGTTGAGTTATACTGATTTGAGATTTCCTGGAAAATTCATCAACTGAAAGATTCTGAATAATGAAAATGTCATATTCCTGGACCTAGAATGGCTTTGGCAATTTCTTTTTTTATTTGTCATGTCTAAGAAAGAAATATATCCCAACTGCATTATTTTATTGACGTTCTTAATACAGCAGTCATAGCATTGTCTATGTTTAAATCACAGGTCAGCAAGTCATGAGATCTGGCTCTCTTTCTGGTATGACTAGAGCCTTCTTGTGTATATAAAAGCTTAGGAATAATTTTTCCAGTTTAGTGAAGAAAAATGTACTCATGACTTCATCACTGTGGTTTTTTTATTAGACAGTCAGGCAGGCAACATGAACTATTATATGGCCTAGATGAACTTCTGTGTGTGTAACAGGACAGCTGAATGCACAGTTGTCCTGGTTGCATAGGTAATCAGTTCCTGCATTATGCATTGGATACAAATCTGCATGGTTTTCCCAACTTAAAGAGTTGCACAAGGTTCTTGAGCTGCTGTCTCTCCTGTTTTGAGGGGGATTATGGCACTCGTATGTCTGGTGGGAATGCTTTGAGGCTACTAGGAATACACATGTCTTAAGTGTATTTAAAGGGTTACTCAGTGCCACTGTTTTGAAAGGTGGTATCTGATTATACTTTGGAGGCAGTGGGAAGTCAGGCATCCATACTTTCCACTATGCTTTGAAGCAGTATGGGAAAGGTGTGGGCTGGAAAGCATTTTTCTCCTGCTCTTCTGAAGCAGTTACATCAAACACTGAGCTAAGTTAGTTAAGCTTGGTGCAGTGGACAGGCTTGTGCTGCTCACCCCTGTCCTGATCCAGATGACAAAAGTGCTAGTGAAGGAGGTGTGGAGGAATGCAGGTGCCCCATGAGAGCATTGGCAATTTGGGATTAAAGCAGTGCTCAAGCTGACATGCTCTGCTTGGGTGGCCAGAGTGCATGAGCAAAAACCCCAGCCTTGCTGAATTCTGTTATTTATAATGTTTACTTTTTGTCACAGCATATGTATCTTTTTAAAAAAATTGTGAGTTATTTGTGAGCATCATGTACTCATTAACTGAAGGCAGAACTGGCTGCAGAAAGCAAATAGTGGAGTAGTTTTCTGGTATCAGCTGCAGGACACAGCAGGGACAGGAGACATGTCCCTCATGCAGACATGGGAAGGTGTCCCACAGAGGGTCTGACAGTGCGTGTGCTCCAGGTCCAACACAGATACCAGGTAAATTTAGTGCCATGGATGAAGAATATTTCAATTCTAGTAGCTTCCACATTGATTTCACCTAGATAACCTACCTGTAATTTTTAAGGAATAAACAAGATGGCCTGGCCCATACCCTGGAGATAACCACCTTGCTTCTTGGCAAAACCCAATGTTTGGCCAAAGAAGAAGGATTTGTACATCTTCCCTACCTTTTCATAAATATCAGTTTCATTTTAAGGCAAAGCAGTTCACCAGACTTGACAAAATATATTCTTTTTAATGAAAAAAACCCAAACAGTTTTGCTAAAAGGACAGTTCAACCTTGTCCCCTGTTTTATCATTGTGAATATTTTCATGTGTGCTTAGCTGTGGTTAGGCCAGAGAGGGGCCTTTCAGGAGCCCCCCAGCCCTTCTATGTGGTTAAGTCTGAGAGGAGCAGATACAGCTGATGGTACAGGACAGCGCACATGGTAAATACCGAGTGGCAGACTAAAACCACCCAAGTCCTTGCAACAGGATTGTGTTGAGTTTCCCTGCTGCCTGGTAAAGCATGAGCATCGTGTCTCAGCCCAGTGTGACCTGTGCAGATGAAGCAGCACTGGCAGGCTTTTGTGCAGGATGGAGAGACCTTCACCAGGAAGAGCAGCCTGATGTTTTTGATGGAGTAGACTCCCTTTCACCAGCTGTGATATATCATTCCTGCCATTCAGGTGGGACACTGTCGGGTGAGGTAATCAGTGCTTGGTGGCAACCATATAAGTAAGCACTTGTCTTGTTAAGTGTGTAGAGCTTTTGGACATACCTGGTTTTGGATGAGAGGTTAAATCAAGATCCAAATGCTATGTGGGTATTACAGAGGCATAATAATTTTTGATTTTTTTTTATTAATTTATTTACAATAATAAAATTAAGCAAGCAAGAAAGGAAAACCTAAACTCAAGAATTTAAAAATTGCTGTGCTGGAAATTTTTAAGTAATCTTCCATTCTAGTTTGTTTCTGTTGGACTGATACAAATATAAAAGAAAAAGAAGAAAACATTCATCTGAGGAAAAAATTCAGGGTAGGCATCAACTAAAAGTCATTGTATTTGGAAATGAACTAAAAAATGAACTAAAATACTTACATGTATTCTCTAAGGGTGAGGATAAATTTGCTTCTATTGAATAAAGAATGGAGTTCTAGTAGTGATTCATGTGCTTTGAGTTAAGCATGTGATTTAAATACTTTGGAGGAATCAATAAGATATCATGTGATGCTTTCTTCTTTTACCCAAGTATTGTGATCTTAATGCTGCTGGAGTTTTTACAGAAAGGTCAAAAGCTTAGCTTCTGATCTCATATAAATCTGATGCAGTTTCAGTTTGCAGTTTGCAACACAGCTTCCCCAGGAGTTAATCTGGTTTAAAGCTGTTCCTGAGATCAGAATTTGATTTTCTTGCAACTTTTTCTTTTAGTCTTTTGCTATTAGTTGTTTCGTAGAAAGTGGATGTTGTTGTATGTGGCTTTTGGAAGGGACATGATATATAAATACGTGTTCCAAAAATATACCTGGGAGCAATTGCAAAAAGGAGACATTTGTCTGTAACAGCCAGCTCATACTCTGGCTCAGTATCCAACTCCATTTAATGCAAAGTGTACTCAGTGGAATTCTTCTGCTTTGATTCTTACCCTGTTTTAGTATTATTTATAATTTAGCCGTTGCTGTGGAACCTGTTTCAATATTATTTCCCCTCTCTTCTTGTTTCAGGTATTATTTTAAAGTCCAAGCAAAGAATCCCTTTGGTTATGGACCTGTTAGCTCTTCAGTTTCATTTATCACAGAATCTGGTATAGTTTTCTTTTTATTTTCATCTCAAAACTCGTATTAACAGATGTGGCAGGGCAATAACTGAAACCAGCATGGCAATAACAGTGGTTATTCTGGACTTGCTGCTTTTACATTATGTTGGGGTTTTTTAAACTTTAATTATTCGTTTTCAGTTAAGCTAGGAAAATAATACGCATTCCTAATGCCACTATGAAAATGTAAGTGATGTTAAAATCAGTTCCAGGGGAACAGGAAGCTGAATTTCAAATACAAAGGGCTACTGATATTCAACAATACAGAAGCAATGGAACTTTACAGTCTTTGATAGATTGACCAAACATTTAGTAAATTGGTTTCCTAATTGTGAACAGCTAAACAGTTGGAAGCATTTCCATTTCTGGAAGAAATGTAGAATACAGTAGTTCCATCAGACAGGCAAAGTTCTCTGTTCTTTTTTTCTTTTGACAAGGCATGCTGCTCTTTCACAGGGCTAATAGTATATTCAAGAGCAACACCCCCTTCTAAAAATAGTAGGTCAAAGGAACTATTTTTTGCCTGTTTCTTCTACTTCCATGGAGCCAGAGGCTAGTGACTCCACTAAATAGTAAAGAACAAATTTTTCAGTCTTTACTTTGAGTGAACGGTCTTGTTGTTTCTTGCAAATTTTGCCCTTTCAATGGCATGGGGTTTCTCTGCCCTTTCTCATTTGACTTCATTGTGTACTGCTCCCTTCGGAAGCTCCACTAAGAACCACTGAAGTAAATCATCACAGAAAGCAGACAGAAATGCGAGATCAGTCTATGGTCCTGAATAACATATTCAGATTTTCATTAAACGAATAAGACGCTCAAGTATTAATCCAAGCATAGTATTCAACATTGCCCCGCTGGCCAAGAAGGCAAATGGCATCCTGGCCTGTATCAGCAGTGGTGTGGCCAGCAGGAGCAGGGCAGTGACTGTGCCCTTGTACTGGGCACTGATGAGGCCACACCTCACATCCTTTGTTCAGTTTGGGGCCCCTCATTACAAGGAAGACTTTGAGATGCTGGAACGTGTCTAGAGAAGGGCTGTCAAAGAACAGGCTGCCCAGGGTAGTGGAGTCCCCATCCCTGAAGGTATTTAAAGATGTGTAGATGTGGCACTGAGGGATATGGTTTAGTGGAGGACTTGGCAATGCTGGGTTGACAGTGGACTCACTGATCTTAAAGACCTTTTTCCAACCTAAACAATTCCATGATTCTGTGCTGTCTCTTGCAGATTGTTTTCCTGCTGCCAGCATATGGGCCTGAATGCCTAGTTTTCTCATCCAAAATCAGCCCATTTGTGAGCTTTATTTAACCTGTTAAATACAGCAAATTTAAAGCTTTGTTTGCAGCACTGATCTTTCATTTGTCATGGCCAAAGGTGTCTTTGCAGCTGGCACAAGTATAAAAACCAGTTGCTAAATGCTATACCAGGTGGTATAGTTACAGTGATAAGTATATAAGAGAAAGAAATTGGTAATTCAGAGTGCTCTTCTAATGCAAGTGTAAGGTTTGACCTGCTGGGAATATTCAATAAAGAATGCCATCATAGGATGAAGCACATTATTGAAAATGTTCAATCAGCGACTCCATATGTTTCACATTATAAAACAAGGTTTGGAACAAAATACTAAATTTTCTATGTGTTTTTTTTTCTTCTAGACAATCCTCTCCTCATTGTCAGGCCGCCTGGTAAGTCTCTGTTTTTTCATTCATGAAATGCATAAAGACTGTGCAAAACAGAATATAGGAATTAGAAACATTTACACATGCAGTTTTAGGTACAGTTTTAAGTAGGAACAGGTAGTAATTAATGGGACTAATTCATAAAACATTTTTTGTCTTAGGACCCCTTATTCTATTTTCTGAAAAGAAATCTTGTAAAGATATATTCAGATAAGCACTTGATTTTGGCCTATCTTTTTCCCTGCTACAACAGCTTTAATTGCTTGGCAAAAAAGCAATAAACTATGTTACTTCAGTATCTGTGTCCTTCAGTTGCCTAAGCATAGCTTGAATAGCAGGATCAGGTTTCTCTCTCTCTAGTTCTGGTGCTCATCTGTACAAATCATCATGCCCTTATAAATTCTAAAAAATTCAAGGATTTGTTACTGACCTGAATAATATGCCACAAAGCTGTTTAGCTTGCTTTGTATTTCCAAATTTGCAATAAGCTAGTTCAGCCCATAATCAGAAGATCTGATTTCCTGGTGCTGGGACTAACCTTGCTGACATGAGCATTGGTAGTGTAACCCCAGGCAGTACACGCTCTAGAAGAGATGCAGGAAAAAAGACCTCATGGTAATTACACTCCATCAACTTTCCTAAGGAGTTAAAATGGTTGGTTCTGGATTTTTTGCTACACTCTTCATGAAAACAGTGTCCAGTTTATCCCTTCCTTCTCAATTTTATTGTGCTTGCTAGTCTGGTGTCTTTGTGTTCTGGGAGGCCTCTGGGGATTGCTGATCACTGACTGCTTCTCACACACAAGCGTTTGCAGGATTTGGTCCCTGTGCCTAGTGAGAGGAAGAATGACTAACAGAAGACATTTCCAATCTCATTTGTAAACCACCTTGAAATAGCAGAGTAAAAACATGGCTTTGGGGTCTAGCTAGAGAGAAAAAAAACAAGTATCACATTGGAAGTTTTTTGTATCATTCTGTATACATTAATACAACAGTAATTTCAAAATCAATTATATTGTCTTGGTAGTACAAATCAAATATTTAGGTAAACTAGTAGGAATATTTATTCTTTTGCAATACAATTAAGTAGTCTTGTCTGCAGCAATGCTCAGAACAGAGCTCCCCAGGAAAGGTCTTATTTGTCTATTATTGGAAACTTATCTGTTTTGATGTAATCTGGGAAAACGAAAAAGAAAAGTACATTTGTGATACGATCTCTTAAACGAAATAGCAAGAAGAGACTTCACAGGCTGTTGCTCACCACAGAGTTCTTAACATCTGTTCTTGTGAATAAGGGTTATGTTTTATAGTCTTAACCTGCAAGTCACTCTCAGACCTAAGATCAGGCTGTGTTAATAGAAGCTGTGTAATACTAGGTAGAGAAGAAGTCTTACTCAAACAATTAAGACTGTTTACTTAAATCTGTGGTTCAGTACATGATATCATATTTTAATAATTTTAACAGTTATTTTTGTCTACTGCATAGGAGGGATTTAATAAAGTCTCTAACTTTATTTTTAATAATATTTTTTCTTGAAGTACTACTTACGAATATAAAGTCATGCGTTAATCTGTTGCAGCATGTCTTGTGAAACATATTATTAGATGTTAAACTCTGCAAAACTTGGACTGATGTGTTAAAGTCTGTCCCTAATGTGGAATTTATTTTCTTCTCCAAGGTGGTGAGCCTATCTGGATCCCATTCACTTTTAAATATGACCCCACCTACTCAGACTGCACTGGCAAGCAGTACGTGAAGCGAACTTGGTACCGCAAGTTTGTAGGAGTGGTTCTTTGCAACTCCTTAAGGTACAAGATTTACCTCAGTGATGACCTGAAAGGTAGGCATTAATTTCCTGCTACATGATTACTTGTCTCTTCATCTTCTGTCTTTCTTCATTTCATATGTGTCAGAATTGTGTGACCATTATGTGAGAGTCCTTCTCAAGAAGGATTAGCAGTAGCTCTTACACAGGTCCATTGCCTGAGAGATAGTGAAAAAAACTTTCCATATTGTTGAGCTGGGGTAATGGGATCATCTCAATGGCCTTTCAGACTATGCTAATGACTATTGTAGTGCCTTGGTAGTTTCAATACAGTGTTTGATTATAATAAGAGACAAAAAGCCCTGTTGGTTTGAAAAAGAGAACTCCGCAGTTTTTAATTTTCGTTTGAGACTGAAGTCAAACTAATGGTATTCACATATTGAGAGATTTTTACTTTCACATTATATATTTCAACTAATCCAGTTGAAATTCTCTTCACCTGTCTCCTGCGATGCACTGCCCATGGACTTGAAAATGGAGACTACTCCTTACTGAGCTGTAACCCATTTATTTTCCATTTTTTCTGCTTCCATAATGTGAAGGTACCATTCTCCCTCTTTCTGGTCACTGTTTGTTCATTAGTGTCATAAGACTGTGTGTGTCACTGCAATGTTCTTCCTGCCTTCTTCCACACCTACCTTCCTGGTGGTAAAGAGTATCCCAAACGTAAGTTTTGCTGAGTTAAGTAATCTGTCTGTATCTCTCTTCAGATACCTTCTACAGCATTGGGGATAGCTGGGGAAGGGGTGAGGACCACTGCCAATTTGTGGATTCACACCTGGATGGAAGAACAGGACCTCAGTCATACATTGAAGCCCTGCCCACGATCCGAGGTACAGCAATGGGGGAGTGGGATGCTGGCCAGGAGTCTGTTATCCCATCTGTAGGATTAAGAGGTCAGGAGAAGAGCACAGAGTGCAGCTCTGTCCACAGCTGCTGACAGCTCTCCAAGGAGTTCAGCTGATGCAGTAGCTGAGAACACATTATGCAAGTCCCAGAAGACTTGGTGCAGAGAGAGAGAGAGACAGACAGAAAGAGAGGGGCATATGATGCAAAAACTGTGCAGCACAAAATGCAAAAAGAAAACAAAAAATAACTGTGGAGGTCTATGAAACCTTTCTCTTATTGATAAGACCTACTCCATTGAAACAACATGCAAAACCCATGTGCCTAAAGGGACCAGCTATATCTTTGCAAATATAGCTTCTGTGAATGACTTCTATTAGTTCATTCAGTGCAAAACACAAGGGAATATGTCTAGTGACTTAAGGTCAGTACTTTTATTCTGGCCTGGTAGATACCTGTCTCAAAGGGAAAATTCATACCTTGAAGGAATTCCTCTGAGCAAGTTTCTCACCTCACATAACCAGGTAGAAGACAGGTTGCTTCACAAAATGAAACCAATCATGGAAGTCAGCCAATCTTTTCAGTAAGTCTATTGGTTTAAATAATTCAGTTAACTTTAGTGGTTTCCATGTTAGATTATGTGTTGATATTCTTTGCATAGTGGCGTTACCAGGAAGAAACTGAAATTGTAACTGATATTTATGTATCATTGTGAAGTACTGCATTTTGTAGCTCAGAAAACAGATGATTAATCCAGATGTATGTATACTAAGTCTAGAAGACAGAGATAGAGAGCACACAGAAGTTTTATTATTGGCATAAGCCATGGGTGTTTCAGAGGTTCCAATGCACGAGCTATGCAGACAAGAATGCTGCACCTCTTCTAATGCTTTCAGCAGTCACATTCTTTTTGCAGATGAATTAAAAGGGGAAGGGAGGGCTTAACTCAGTATTTACTGCATGAAATGATACCTTTCTGTTTTGTAAAAAGCTGACTTTTGCTGATAGCCTCTTAAGCCCTGTGAGATAATGTGATTTGATGGTATTTTTTTGCCCCAGAGTCCTTAATATATTTAAACTGACTTAAAAACTTCATAAACACGGCTGAAATATGCCCACCTTTTGGACTGAAATGCAGAAGCTCTTTGGCAGACCACAGGATTACACAATACTTAAAGAGATTTGGAGCAGTAAAACCAATCAAAACTAAAAGAAATATGAAGGACCATAGTTAGATCATTCAAGAAAGATCTCAGCCAAATACCAGGGCTAGCCAATACCCTCTTTGATACAACTCCCTGCCAGACAGTTTATAAATTTGCATTTGCACTGTGAGGTTGACTCTCACTGCACCTGCTACTTTAGTTAAATTGCTGTGTCTGTGTTCTGGAATACAAATGGGTGTTTTTCTCCTGACAGGGTATTACCGCCAGTACCGCCAGGAGCCTGTATCGTTTGGACGCATTGGATACACAACACCCTACTACTATGTGGGCTGGTATGAGTGTGGTGTGCCCATCCCAGGGAAATGGTAGCAGCCTGCTTTCCTGTCTTCGGTAGACCATGCTTTTCAAATTATTTCTGCCAGAGGACTGTAAGCAACTGATTTGGAAGAGGAAAAAAAAAAAGATAAATGGGGAAAACCAGTGAAGACCAGCTGCTCAAGAAACCCTCTTGAAGACAAACATGGACACCTTTCACCAGCCTAAATCTGTGGTGCTACTTGATTTCTTCTTGGAAGCAGGGGTAGGATATAAGTTTGATGTCCTGCCTTCCTCTTCTGTGTCTTTACGGCACAAAGAGAAGGTTGCAATGTGTGCAACCTGTGAAAATTAGAACTGTATTAGCTATGAAAATTTGGAAGTTTATTATATCTTAGAGGAACGACCTAAGCATGCTGTGCTTGCTTAATGGGATGCTAAACTGTCTTTTGCTGCCCGATGGGGCTCCCCTATGCAATAATGCCATGTAACTGGCCACCCACCAAAGGCAGTATATTCTCCTGAAGACTTACCCTGTGGGTTCACCCACAGCTGGACTAATCACCAGGTCACAGTGTAAATTCACTTTGAGATATATCTGTATCTATATCTATATAAATACGGTACTGTACATCTGCAGAAATACTTCTTAGAGATGCTGAGATCTTCTTGTTCATTAGATAAATATGTTTGGAATTTTTATGTAAAAGGTGCTGTTAATTCTTTGAAATATTGCTATGCACAATATATTAACCAAGGAAAGAGCTGTATTCTTCTTGTGAGTACTGTTGATGTAACATTTGAATTATTGATCAAGACTTGTGTCCCACTTCCTTGGCAACCTTTGGACTGGATATTCAATGGGATTCTACCCCTCTATCCGTGTTAGAGTGGCAGTGTATAGTCCAGCAAAAACACATACACAGCAGCTCATCAGCATCAGTTAAGCTTTCTATCCTTTACTATTTAAAAGTTTTAGTGCAACTTCCTTCAATCCATTCTCATCTTATTTTGTATGTTATTTATTCCTTGTCAGTATCTTTCATGTTAATGTGCAGAGGCATAGGACGAGTAATTTTGATATTAGAAACTGCTTTTAACTTATTTGCTCTCCAAAAAGAAGCCCAAGCCACCAATACATGAATCAACTAGCAGGAAGCTCGTTTTACCACGGGGACAAACTGGGGTACACTTCTTTTTAAATACTACCAACATCGTTTCCAAGCAGCCCAGAAAGCAGAAAGTGACATGAATAAAAAATGTAATGATCACTTTTTCAGAAGGCATTTGGAAGCTTGCAATAATGTTTCATGGTAACACCTCAACAGCCTTTGCTCATGTTAGTAAGACTCATCAGTTCTGGCAGTCTGGGGGAGTAGCAGTAACCTGGAGGACAGATCCAGTCTCTGGACCATCTTTCACTCTTGTTCCAGCTTACATGTAGGGTAGGTCTAACACCTCTTGAGTTGCTTCCTGTAGTTATTTTAAATTGTATGGGGCCAAAAAAGGGAATTAAAGTAATTAAATGAGCGTTTTCTTTTTTATGGAGATTTGGGTTTTAACATTTTAATTTTTCTCACATATTTTTGCTTCAGGACAATGCCAAATATATGGTCTTGAAGTATAACTTCTTTCCCTAATAAACCTATGATACATGGTTCCATTCCTATTTCATCCTTTCTGGTCATCTGTGTCAAGTAATCTAAGTGACACACTGTCAGCTTTCTGAAAGTCTCCCCTGGGACAGGACTAAGTGTCAACTTTTTGTAGTAGACTGGAAGCATGTGAATGTGTTGCTCTCTTTCAAAGATGGTTAGCAGCTAGTGTGGGGTTACCAAGGCCAAATCATGTCTGACCAGCCTGATCATTGTCTTCGTTGAAATGACTGCTGCTGTGCACTGGGGAGAAAAGGGAATGTCACTGGCCTCCATAAAGCACTTGGCATGGCCTCCCACTGTCTGCTTGTAGTGAAACTGGTGGAATATGGCTTGGGGAGTTGGTCTTTAAGGTGGATGTGAAATTAACTGTGTTGTGAGGCTCAAAAGGTTGTGATCAAAAATAGCACAAAGTCCAAATTACAGCTGGTTGCAAGCACCATCCTCAGGGGCAAGTGCTGGGTGCAGTATGGTCTGATGATCTGGACAGTGGGAAGGAGTGCATGGATGGAGTGCACCATCAGCAAACATGCCACTGATACTAAACTGGGGCTGGGGAGTGGTTTATGTGCTGAGAGCTCCTCAAAAGAGGGATTTCTATGGGCTGGAGAAATGAGATGTCAGGAAACTCATGAAGTTTGGCAAAGGGAAGTGAAAAGTCCCACATGTTGGTCCTTGTGGCAATACAGGCTGGGATGACTGTCCAGAGAGCAGCCCTGCAGAAGAGCTGCATTATACCTTCAGATAAATTCTGATTTGTTCATCTGAGGAGACATAGTTCCTTCATTTCCTGCTGGAAATACTTTTGGGGTGGGACAGTCCCATTCAGAGATGTCACTAGAGATAAAGATCTGAGACAGCCGTTTTTTCTGCAGCCTCAGCTTAGGAGGTACTGAGCAGTGCTGGGCTAAGGGTGGAGGGCATTGTGCACTCTTCCCCTCCAGTGTGATTCTCTGAGGCTAAACCAACCCGGGCAGAGTCAGCAGTAGGGTACAGCAGGGAAACACGTGAAGTACAATGGTATGCAGTCTGTTGCCTTCACTTTGAGGTCTGGATAAGTCCTCTGTGCTGTTCGAGGTGATCTGGTTTGCATTTGCATCCTTTTCCCTGTGTGTAGGGTAAACATATTATTGTGATACAAGGTAGTTTCTTGAAGAGATGATGCTGATCTTGCTCTCTGTTCATCTAAGAGGTGGTGGGATTCCAGAGGTGACTAAAAGCCGTGTGGGTCTGGAAAGCCATGTCCCAATCCAGATCCTCTCTCCTAGGCTCTGCCAGTGTCCTGAACGACAGGCAACCCTCCCCTTTCCTTCCCTACTTCCCTGCTGTCCCCATGACATGCTGGTCCTGCCATGCCAGCATAGGAGAAGCAGCACACCCGCTTGGGAGCTAAACTGCCTCTCAATTGAAGTAGCTGTACAGCTTTGTCGCTGCCCTGCATATCAGGGAGTATCATACAACTTTGAGTAGTGCTAATGGGAGAGGAATGGGTCTTTTCCTCTCTCAGCTCTCCTCCCATGCCCTTCTTAATGGCAACACCACATCTGCATCTGGTTTTCAAGCTCTTGGCGCCAGCTCAGAGAATGCCATGTCCCTTCAGAGGCTCTGAGGGGTGTTGCACCACCCTTGCTTTCTTGTCTAAGTGACCTTGAGGGAACAGGATGGAGGAGAAGGCGGATCCCCACAGAGAGAAAATTCACACAGCTTGGGTCTGCATCGCCTCCGGTCCAAGTCTCTCAGGGGTGGAGGGATGCCAGGGTCCTGCCTAGTGGGGAATTGTAGAGTTGAAAAAGAAAAGGATAAAAACACAACAGAGGAAGGGGTGGGGAGGAAAAGACAAGCAAGCTGCTTCAAGCATTGTCTGGCCTGGTCAGTTCCAGATGCTAATCTCTGATCACTGTTCCAGATTTTTGTGAGAATTTGGATTAGTGCCTCAAAGGCAGCAGGAACAATTGCCAAAATGTGACAAATGCCAAGGGTTCTCAGGGGCAGCCAAAGCCCTGCATGTGGACCCAGCATGTGAACAGAGGAACTCTTTGGTGATGAAGGAAGCACTGAGTGTCACTTGGAAAGATGATAGAAGGCCTTTGTGGGAGGTGACCCAATCCCCTGAGCAACGTGAAATGATCCTTGCAGTTCCTCTCTATGAGGAACTATACAGTTTTCTGTCTGCAGAACCCGTGCCCACTTTTCCTACCAGGCAGATAGATGTTATTCGAGTGAAGAGCTGTCTTCCTCTGGCAGAAGGAAGGGAGGTAAATGCAGAAGGGAATGAGGTCAATGTGGCAGTAGCCCAGCTCTGCTTCCTAAGGCAAAACTGGCATCCATGGATGTTTAAAGTCCCACCCACAGAGCCCTGCCAGCCTGCCTGAGGGCCCCTAGCTGGTAACATTTGAAAACAAAGCCATGCCTTGTACTGCTGCTCCTTTTCTCATCACGCTTGTGTGTCCCATTAAGGAGGAAGTACTCCCACAGGACTTCTGCCACATCACCCTGCCAACTGCATCACAACAGTCAGTGAAATGTATAACCCTGGTGAGAATGAGTACTCAGAGAGAAAAACACTGGAATTGTGTCTGAGTGCAAAAATCCTGGTGTCAACACTGGCAAGTCAAGTGACAAAGGCAGCAGCTTGGGGGCCAGGTCCTCAGGTACCATCAGTTGCCATAGTTCCTCAGGGCCAGTTGTGTCACCAGTGCCAGTGTCACTCAGCTCCAAACCTGGCCTGACCAGAAGAAGAAGAGCTGGAGAACCTACACTTGTCATATGGCAAGGAAGCACATATTTTGTGTTAGTGAAGCTGAGCCACAGACTGAGCTGCATGAGCAAGGACACCGTCAGTGGGCTCAGGGATGTACTTCTCTCTTCAGTAGAGGAGAGCCTGCACATGGAGTATCTTCTGCCCTCCTGTACAGGGACAGCTGGAGAACATCAACGAGAGGATGACCATGATGGTTAGGGGACTGGTGCAGAGGACATACAGGAAAAGGCTGAGTGCTGTGTTTGTTCAGACTTGGGAAGGGAAGGCTTGATTTGATTATCTCAGATGGGCCAATGGAATCATAAAGAAGACAAACCTACACTTTTGTGAGCAACACACTGAAAGGCTGAAGGGCAATGGACACAGACTGCAACACCAGGAATTCCAAGAAATATTAAGAAAATGTGTGTATCATCGAACTTATCAAATACAGGGACAGCAGCCCAGAAAGGCAAGGGAAAACTTCATCCCTGAAGGTGTTTACAACTGGCCTGGACAGGTCCACAAGTAAGTAACATGATCTAGTTTTGATGCTGGCCTTGCTTTGAAGTTCAAGTGTGTTGGATCTGATTTTCAAAGCTTCCTCCAACCTGGAGAATTTAAGTCTATGAATGATGCCAACCACTGTATTATGCAGCCAGACAACCAAAACCAGAACCAAAATTTCACAAAAAACAAAGTTCAATCTCTACACATTTTCTCTAGTGGATTGATTTATTGGACAAAAATAATCAAATTCACAGAATGGCTAAGGTGGGAAGAGACCATTGAGAAACATCTAGTCCAAACCTTCTGAAAGCCAGGTTAGCTATAGCAAGACCATATTCTCTTGCATTTTAAAGATCTCTAATGATGTAAACTCCACAGTTTCTCTGCAGCCTGGCTCAGTGTTTAACCACCATCCCATAATAAAAAAAATATATTAATTTTGTTTAAATGGATTTTCCTGCATATGAGTTTATATCCATTGATTTCTATCTGGATACCACTGAGAAGACCCCGGCTCCATCACATCAGGGATATGGTTCCACTGTGCTTTCCTTCTTCAGACTGAAAAGTCACAGGTCTCCCAGCCTTTCCTTGTATCAGAATTGCTCCTGTTCCCTCATTCCCTTCATGGTCATTCATTGGGTTTTCTCCATTATGTTCATGTCTGTCTTGTACTGGAGAACCTGTAATTGAACACAGAGGTGTGGAACACTGAATAAAGGAGAAATAAACATCTTCAATTGAAAAAAAAAAAAAAGAAGAAGAAAAAAAGAGAAAAAAAAAAAAAGTTTTTTTTCCCCTAAATGCAAACTGGCTTCCAGATAATACATGATCATTTGTGAGGAAGTGAGGGAAGCTCTGAGGGCAAAAGCAGGGAAGGAGTGTAGTCTCCTAGACTCCCATGAAGAATTTCTGACCCCGGTTTCCTATTGTGAGAAGTTCCTGCACATGCTTTCCAGATGTGACTTGTGGAAGCTCTCAACTGAGCCTGAGGATCAGGTCACACATGACTGGAGGCAATACCCTCATGGCTTTGCAGGAAGCCTCTAGATGGCAGGAGATACTGTTTGGCCAGGCCTTAGAGCAGGCCCATGCTGAAGAATGGAGGTCTAGGCTGGATATCAGGGAAAATATTTTTCACCCAGAGGGTGTCTGGGCACTGGAACAGGCTCCCCAGGGCAATGGTGACAGCACCAAGCCTGACAGAGCTCAAGAAGTGTTTGAACAATGATCTCAGGCACATGGGGTGACTCCTGGGGTGTCCTATGCAGAGCCAGGAGTTAGATTTGACGATCCTGATGGACCCCTTCAAACTCAGCATATTCTGTGATTCTGTTCTGTGTGCATTCATCATGTCACACCACATTGTGAGAAAATTCTTTTAATGAAGGCACAGTTTTTGTTCAGGAGCAGCAAAGTCCATTCTTAGAGAGAATCTTCAGGAAGTCCGTCCCTCACAAGGCAAAACTTGCAGCCTGCTCTGTCTGAAGCTTTGGAAGGTTCTAGGGTGAAACAAGTACAAAAACACTGTGTGATCCTCCTGGGCTTTCACAGGTCATAACTTTCTTAAGGTTGCATGCAGTGTGATTTTCTCAGGAGTACTGTTGGCAACAAGAACCAGTTTATCTTGCAGGAATAAAACCATTACTGACTATTTCCAGGAAGCTTTCAAGGTCTTCTTGACTGTAATAGCAAGAGTGTTTCTGCCCACCTAATTGCTTTCCACACTTCCATTCTTCTAAAGTTTTTTGTTATATGAAGGTCTTTTCATCATTAAAAATATGGGCTGCATTTGTGTAAACTGCTGATAAAGTCCCAGAAATTTTTGTTGTTTCTCCATCATTTAGCTCTATTTTCCCCTGTCATTTACTTTCTTCTTTTGGTAATTGGAGATTCTTTCTTGTAGCTGAGTGCCTTTCATGAAGCACTATGTCTTGAAAGTACGATCTAATGTATATCCGAAAATATTTCACTCAGAGGTTGGTGTTCCTCCCTGGCACCCATGGGCATGATCTGTATTGTCCCACTCAATGTCTGCTAGCAGGTGTTTAACCTGCCTTGCTCACACATTTGTCTCCTGCATAAGCAGTAGATGTTAATGCCACAAACTCCAAAACAAATGTAGCAGCATTTTCCCCTTCCCCCTGGTCAGTAGCATCATGAAGGAATAAAACGGAGGCAATAAAATACCGCAGAGGGCCTGGGTTCAGATCTTCTCTGCTC